CCCCCCCGGCAAGCAACGCCCCCCCAATCAGCACAAAACCTAAAGCATAAAAATTATCTACATGTACAATGGTGTTTTATCTTGTGGTGTGCCCCCCTAGCTGGTAAGGGCCCCCCTCGCCCTAATGCCCTGGGCGGGCAACGGTGCTAGCTGGCTGACTAAAAAGTCTCTGATCAACTGCATACATGTATGACATCAAAATTTACACATATACGTGTATTTGTATTCTTAAATTTTCATTGTACCAGTAGATCTGTGGAATTGCTGTCTTTTTTCAAAAAAAATCCCAAACACTTCTTTCACAGTCTGTCATAAATTTTGTGCACTAATGTGTGTCCACCCGCAGACTAAAATAGCCATATTGAGAACATGCTCTTTTTAAAAATGCAAGACACTTGCTGATCGGAAACATACAATGAACTCTTCATATTCTCTCACACACAATTACGCTTTTAATGAGTGCACTCAATTTCCGGAAAACGACAAGCATCCTTTTAAAGACTGCCGCTATGGCAACCGTGCATCCAATATTCAATTGGTGTATCCTTGAGTGCACGCAGTTGCTATGGTTACAACAACACCCACCTCTCTATAAATACATCACTAGCATTGCACGCAGTACGGTGAATTGTGCTTATGTCATGGGCGTTGATAACGCGTACGTGCAGACATGCTGTGCATGTATGAATGGTGAATATTGTAATATTGACAAAAACTAGATCAAGGTTTGGAACATTTCCTGTGCATCCGAGTTGCAATGAGAATGGCAAATTATCACTTCTAGACCAAATTTAATAGTATTCATGGAAGAGAAAAATGTGAGGCTTTAAATTTTACTCAAAAAAGAGTAAGAAACATCTTACACTCTACTGTACACAATCAAATTCCATTGATCATACAAATATATTGTAATTTTATCTTAAATTTATATTGTAATACCGGTACATGTATTTGTTTAAAGTTTTTACTCGGCCTGTAAGTGGCCGTTATTCGCTGTTGGCTGAGAGAAAAAAATAAATAAAATAAATAAATAAATAAATTGGCTAAATATCCATCTTGCATCAAAAAGAGGAAAATTATTAAAGAAAACTGAGTACATACAGCAGGACTAAAATCCTAGACCCTTTATAAAGACAGCTATTCTTGTATTCTATTTAAACAAAATATAAAAAATTTAAGGATGGTAATTACTGTATCTTTAGTTGGCTGTATTATTTTGCAACAGCAATTACATTTTGTGTTTTAGCAGCCAGTTAATTGCACTCAGAATGAAAAAATGTAATGGAAAGTTTATGCACAAGTTTGTGTTTCAAATTTGTACTAAGATGGTTAAGTTTACCTCTGGAAATTTTACTGTGAATATTTTGTCCAATCAAAGTCACTCCAGCAACTTTTAAATATAGAACTACATCACTTACTTGTCAGAGTAAACCATCTATATTTCATTTAGATGACATTATACTTATTTCTTTTTTTCTGGTCATTACTTGTGTAATAATAATAATGAGCATTCTTGTCTTTGTGTATGTTGATGAGTATGCAGGTGCACAAAAGCTACTAATGAAGACCCAAATGAGATAAGAACCATCTAATATTGAGATAAGATCCAATGCACAAGATGGTGAGATGATTGGCCACTGTATGTAATGCACTCACGTCTGCACTAGTCTACGCTCGAATTCAGGGGAACGAAAACATCCAAGCACTTATGAAAATGTCATTTTCTTCTCTCAAATCGATACCGTCTCCTCCAGGGTTGCATTTATCATAAACAATGTGCAATAAAGAGTTATTAAAATTGGTGAGCAGCTATTCATAAAAGCAAATCGACTACCAAAAAATATTATCACGAACCGTGAAGCTTTGTCTCTATCAGAGACTAAAAAATATAAGATGAGATAGAAAGTCTTTCACTTCTTTGAACTTTTTCAAAAAAAGTGAAAAGAGACTTCTTTTGACTGTACATGTAGCACAACTTATAAGTTTGTAATATAGAAGGAACTGCTGATTTAAGTTGCATTTCCCGTGCATTTGCGAGTTTCACCCCCCCCCCAAAAAAACCTGCCTTTTCAAATTGCTATTTAGTTATTTTAGTTATTCACTTTTGAATGAGACACTGATCGTAAAATATAAGCCCATGCTTCGTCACTTTCGAATTATTGGCTGCCAGACATACATGTAATTCCCTTCTCAGTTTGTTTCTTCCCCAAAATCAGTACCGATACCATACGGATCAAGAGCCTGTCTGCTCGCAAAGCATATTTTTGTGCAAAACAATAAAATAAAATTCAAAAAAAAAAAATCAGAGGGCTGCAGCCATCACAAAAAAAGAGGGGAAAAATGAGTTTTTTTGGTCAGAACGAAACATATAAGTTGAAAATATATTAATAGAAAAAATATATTTTTGTTAAAGAACACGAGGACGCAACTTAAATGAAATCAATATTCTAAAATTTACTTGTCTTTTTCACATGTTTTTTCTTCACAGAACAATCTTACATCATCAACAAAGATACTGACAAACTACATAGGCAACTGCCAAAATAGGGCATGATAGGCATGATAGCTCAGTTGGTAGAGCAATTGTACAAATATTCCTGAGGTTGCAGGTTCAAACCCCACTCCAGTCAAGCTTTTTTTTTCCCAACTTTATACGTGATCATCCATACTGGTACATTTACAGGGTGAGTCAAAAAAAGCGGAACCCAAACTCCAAAAATTATATTTCATATTTAAAAAAGAATTGTAGCACCAAAACAATAATGACTGGAAAGCCAATTTCATAAGGTACTTTTAGATAAAAAGATGACTAAAATTGGTCCATCTGTTCAGAAAATATCACCATTTAAACACAATGACCCTAAAACCTGTCTCGTCCAAAAAAATGCGATTTCAAGAATCATCGTCTCAATTGTCTTCAAACATCACCAGCGATAAAATCTCAGTTTAAATGTTAAAAACATTGAACAGAATCCGTTTGAAGACCCGTCCTTTAAAAAAGTAGATTTTATAAATCATATTGTTTGCCTAACCGGGGTTGTTAATAAACATATTGTGTACTACAGTTGGTGACAGTTGTTGAAACAAGTATTCTGTGTCATTTTCTTTGTTGTTTCAAAGACAGGTTTTAGAGTCATTGTGTTTAAAAGGTGATATTCTTTGAACGGATGAGCAATTTCAATAATTCTTTCATCTAAAAGTAGCTTATGAAATTGGCTTTCCAGTCATTATTTTTTTTGGTGCTACATATTTTTTAAAATATGGAATATATTTTATGGGGTTTGGGTTCCGCTTTTTTTGACTCACCCTGTATGTATGTATGTTGAAATTTATTATGCACACATGACAAAGTCTGAGTGCACAAGGGGAAAAAGAAAGGATACCAGTTTGATTGGGCCATAAATTTCCTTTTATTTTTGAGAGTATCAGTTGTATTCTGTGCATCCATCATCATTTGGGAGCGCAGTTCTCTTTTCCCTTGAGAAATTAAACAGTGCTAGTACTGCTACATGGTTTACAGCCTGAATTTAGCGACGCCTGTGCGATTTATCAATATGTGCAAATGACAAATGGGAAGATAGTTTATTTTTATGGCCGCTTATTAAAACAGGTAGCTGGTGAATTTTCTATGAACACACAATGTGGATCTACATGTAGACAGGTTTAGTGCTTGGCTGCTGCTTGCATAAATACATACGTGTACAGCGAGAAACCTTAAATAAAATTACCGGTATTTGTAAGGAATACAATTTTGTAATATTTTGCAGTGGATTTTGTGCAAAAAATCTGAATATGCCACACTAATTTAAATTTCCAATGTGCCAAGTCTAAATTGTATACATGTACCGGTACATGTACCTAAACTGTAGAGTTTTTGTTACAATCAACAGGTTTTGGAAAAAGTTTATAAAAATATATAGGTTTTAAAGCTTTTCTTTGCATTTTTATACAGAACCGACCAACGTGACTCGGCCTGCATACATTTCATGACCATTATGTCATTTGATAAAGAATTTGCGGTCATTTTGGGTGAAAATATATAGTATGCACATCACGTAAGCCCAACCGTCTAGTTAAATGATGCACGATTCAGTTACCAACTAGATACGCTCGCCAACTGCAATGATAACCAATCACAGGGAAACCGGATGGTCACATGTCATACGGTCGGAACCTACACAAATGTGTGCATAGATAGTATCTACACTGTCAATCAAACTTTTTACAGTTCTAAGCTTTTTCACTATTTGAAAAATTACCAATCAAATTGTTGCATATCAAAAATCTCAATGAAACCTTACCCTTGCTCAAGTAGACAACGTTTCACATAGCTTCCTCTTCACATTACACTTAAGCGGTGTGTGCACTGGACTCAAGATTACAAGACGATGGTACAATCCAAATGGGTAAAATCTTACCAGTGTCCACACCTGAGACCCAGTCTAAGGTAAATAATCTGGGCATGTAAACAGGTATCTGGGCTATCTATGCTCCTAGGCTATCTATGCTCCTATGGCAAAAGTAATCATCATCTCTCACTTTCGGTGAGTTTTACCAAAAACGTCCAATTTTATGCAGATTTGTAAGGCATTGCAGGCAAAAAAAAATAGTCTGAGTATCACCCGTTATCCACGGAACCAAGTCTCCTGTATAACGTCTGATCTAAGCATGCGTCACATCATTTCATTCCGAAATCAGGACTAAGATTGTGATTGGTCAATTTCGATGCTGCGTTTTTGTAATACAACAACCTGTACAAAAGTGCTACTCATCGGGGGCGTGATGTTTACGCACGCGGGGAGCTAAAATTACGTGCATTTAGAAGGCGCCTGCTGATTGGTCAGGTCCTTGAGGTCATATGCAGTCTAGTTGCATAATCAATCGCCAAATCTGTTTACATATATCATAGACCATGGTCCGCTTCACCAGGGCCAGGGTCAATTACAGACTAGCAAAAAATGAGCCTCGAATGGCCATTTTTACAATGTACCGGTACTTACTCCAATACTATGAGTGTCATCATCTTCCGTCGTTGTCTTGCTGACTATCCACTGATCCTGGGGGTAAATCTGACTTTCGCTCAGTTGTGCTGAGAACAATACAGAAATATGAAATACATGTATTAGACTAATTTTGATTACATATTGCATGATTATTCCACCTCAAAAAGTTTTGCCCCCCCCCCCCCCAATAAAACCTTACAATTGTAAGACCAGGAAAAAAATCAATTGAATTTGATTAAATAAAGAAAAAGTACCCCCCCCCAAAAAAAAGGGTTTTAAAGAGAAAACACACATATAAAAGTAAAAAAAAAATCACATCAACACTCATCTTCCGTTTGAAACCTTTTGCCGTGATAAATTAACTCACCAAATCTAACAACTCAACTGGAATAATTAGACTTTTCCCCCCGATTTCAGTCTGAAAATTAAACTAATTGAAATTTATTTAATAGAAACTTTCAAAGCTTTAATTATACAACATGTACCGGTATGAATACATGTACGCACTTTCTTTGTTTTATTTAGACCCACAATTTTTACTTAAAGACTGCTCTCCCAAGTTAAATTCACCTGCAAACTATCTGAACCATGGAAAAAAGTGTCAACAAGTTTGAACTGACCACAGTACTTTACAAGGTCAGGGGCAAGAATGCAAGGGTCATCTGGCAGTACATACTTGACCTGTGCATAGTTAAGCCAGGTCAAAGGTCAAAGACCTGCGGTGGGGGGGGGGGGAGCACAATTCAGTGACTGTCAAGATTGACAATATCCATGCACTAAAAATGGGCTAAGATAAAGAAGTGTTGGAATGGAAGGGGAGAGTTGAGTGGTTTGCAGGAAACATGTGAACAGAGAATTTGTCCATTTCTTAACTTAAGTTATTATAATGACAGATAAGGAGCTGTCAGGATACCGTCAATAACATCTTTCAAGCACCAAAATAAGATATATGGAAGTTCTTACATAAAAATTGGTTATTAAATGCTAAACTGTTTAGTTTGTAGCATCTCTATACCCCAGTAAATGTCCATCGAGAAAATGGGTCAAAGATACATTTGGGTTGCACCTTTTTCTTGTCCCTGTTCTAAATCTGACAAATATGATTTTTTTAAATTCTAGCTTCCTCCTTTTTACTGTACTTCTCCAACAACTTAAAAATACTTTGAATTTATTTTTAAAAATGCTTGGTAGCAAGTTACAATTTATCAAGGAACAGATAAAATTTACGGAATGACCAAAATCAATTTCCCTTTAGTTTTTGGTCTTGGGAAACACACAAATAAAAATGGCCTTACTTCTGAATTGTCTTCAATTTCCCTGCACCGAGGAAGAATAATTCTGTTGTAATTTTAGAATACAATAGTGTATATTTCCTCTCCTCCTTAAGGGAAAACAAATAAGCTCAATTTCCTATACGTGTAAATTCAGGACTATGGGAAAAGTGCCTGTTTGTTCCCTTGTTCTATGGTTCAATACAGTTCAAACTAGAAGACTCTGGACTACGGTACATACAAGCAAACCGGTGAAAAAGCAACTGAAGTTTGAAGGAATGTTTTGTAAGACAATACATCTTAGCACTCCCAGGGGGTCAACCAACTTGAATTTGAGACACCCTCTTTGTTAGACTGTTTATGAAGTCAAGTTCAAATTTATTTTTCCTTGCAATGAAAACGAACGGTGCTCTGAAATCCTGAAAAACCGTTGGTTCACACAATCAGCAAAGGACTGAAATTCAAAGGGATCGACTTTGAGGAAAAGAAAACGCTTGGGTGAAAAAAAAAATTAAAGCTTGGTCTAGAGAACTTAACAAAATTGACACAAAGAATTTGAAAGAAGCAAAAGTGGATTTTCTACAAATTTGATTCAAAGGCAACATTGTTTCTTGAAAAAAATTTGACCTTCCGTGAAAGTCTTCTTCACTTACATTTGCACAGTACCCATTTAAAAAAAAAAAAATAAACACACAGGGATAAAACACTAGTATCTCATAAAAAACTTTCATCTCCAAAATGCTAACAGTATACTGAATTTTTCCTTCAAAACACAGGTTCTGTATTTGGGCGATTCCAGCTTTATGTCATGTCCATTAAAGAGCTCTTAAGACCTCAGTGAATAAACCTGAAAATGTATTTTTCAAATTTTATACATAGGATCATTTCTCTGAATCATTACTTTAATTGCCCTCTTTTCATCATTGTTCATTATAAATAGTACTTGTAGTCTTCATTTACATTACGGGAGTACAAAACTTGTTTTGAGAACAGAGCGATCAGGGGTTCAAACATGTTGTGCAGGGGTGGTTTGGAAAAGTTCAAGTAAATTTTCAACTAATTTCGTACTGAAATAGAAATTTGCATTGTAATTGTATTTAGATTAAAATAATCAGAAATCTCTTGAAATCAAGCAGAATCTGTAGCTGAGGTGTTATAAAACAACTATTGACTGCTTTTTCTCATGGTATAGTAAAACTAGTCTCCCTCTGTGATCCATGGATCACTCTATTTTCCCGAGGTGAACGGATCACCTCCGGAGGCTATAGTTTTACTAGATACTGTACCTCTCGAAGCAGACAATTTTGTTTAGTACATATATTTTTACCTTTTTCAGTTGTATTTGTGACGACGGCTTGAATCCCTTGACAGAAAGATTCAAAGCTTATTTTCCCCGTACCTTGCGGATCCAACAGTGTTATTAGACGATGACGCTCCTAAAATTGAAAGAAAACAACAAAATCAAAACGAATCAATCGAAGTAATCTACAAATCTTTTAATCCTTTTTCTTTTCTATTTTACCCTTGGGCCCAGTACATTTTGAAATCCCTCACTTATGGGTAAAATAAATTTATGTCTTGAGCGTCGCGTAGGCGATGGATGTATCTGCTTGATTCAATCTGTTTTCTGCAATCAAATATTCCCCTCTACTTCTAGAGACATTATAATTTTCTGAGAAAGGTGCCCTTGAGTTAAAGAAAGCTGCCTCTTCCCGTGAAAGGGAATTTAGCAGGCTGCAGACATTCTTACTTAATTAAATTCATTAGGCTAATAAACTGACTCGGACAAATTTGCAGTTAGATGGAAAGATTCTAGTTCAATATTTTATACAGATATGTAAAATATTTTTAATGTTTTAGTTTCAAATATTGGGCTTAAGTGCCCTCCACCAACATAATTTTTTTTGATAAACACCGTATACTCAGTGTTGTCCTGTGCAATTGTAAGGAAGAATTTACAAACTACTCGGGTGGGACTCGAACCCGGCCACGACCTCAGACCTCCTGCTTACTAGTGCAGACGTCTTACTAGACCACCCAGCTTGCCGGGTCTGCTAGCCGGTTCGAATCAGATATAGCAGCATGTACTACAACCAAACTATTCATAAAATGGAATATGCGTTGGGGTGATGTAATTCAATTTTGTGTTTTGCCCTTCACCGACAAATCTTTTGTTTGGGTAAAACCCACTATTTAATTTACATCACCTTAAGCTTTACACAAATTCCATCTTGTGGATATTTTATTGGTACAGTGTTACAGTCATAAAAATAATACAGATAGGGCATATTGCTCTTTAGACACAGTTAGAAATGCTCACTATCTGGAGTGGGTAAACATCTTTGTATTTACCCAAATGTTACCATTTTAAATAGTGGCTTCCTTATGTGCCTGACATATAACTTATAAATCTAAAAAAGGAAAAAAAGGAAACTAATTTCAACCAATTCAAAATTTGCACATCAGCATAAACAGCATTGCCATTGAAATTGTGACATTTCTTTAAAAAAAACCCGTCAAATTGAGTTTTGACATTATTACTGAGGTAGATATCATTCTCTTAACAACATTATTTTGTTTGGGGCCTACTTGAATTAAATTTTGCATAGAAAAGTGTTCTTTTTTAATAAGTGTTCTTTTTTAAAATATTTTTTAACAGCACAAGAGAACAAAAAATCACAACAGCACTCAGCAATGTATTATAATTAGTAGCATCATAAATTTTCAACCAATTTGCAAATTTTCACAAGCGGGAAAAAATTTCCAAGCATGGCTTTTTGGGTGGGCAGTGTGGTTCTTCCTTTGACATTCTGCACAGCTCTGCCATGACATTTACCACACCCAATTGATGTGAGAAACCAAGGTTTCAGATACAGTGTAAGTACTTTGTAGTTTTGGTTCATTTATGCACAATACCAATAAAAAGCAAAAGGACTACTACACACAGTATATAAAATTTGTGCATATTTAGCAACCAGCATTTTCAAAAGGTCATGTGTATTAATGCACTCATGCATATTAATTTTTTATAGGCATTTTGTAACATACAAACAAACATGTACATATGTTCCTATTCTGATTTCTTTTAAATTGCCAAAACAAGTACCGGTAGGACCTATACATGTATGGTACAGTGTACGTGTACTCGCATCTAGAATACAAGACACAAAACTATGGAATTGGAAATTGCAGTTATGATTTTTTTTCTGATATTTATTGAGTGAATGTGTTTTTAATGCAAACCTCAAGTCAAATAGGGCCTAATAGAAGTAAAAAGCTAAAGCTTTAAGAAAAGGAAATTAGGAAATATATATAAAAATAAATTTATGGCCAATACAAATTTAAAAATATATATACTTTAATTAACTTATTCCAAATTTGAACCGAAAAAAAATATTATAAAAAAAGGAATACAGAAAAATAAAATTGAAATCGCTGTTCAAAAATTACTGCCAATTAAAATGTACATCTCTGAACCAATTTGGAATTTGAACCAAAAAAAACCAACATATTTCACACTTGTTTTGAATTTTTAAGCAATTAAATTAAACTTAGTCAACGCAGTCCAATACTACAAAGAAACTCAGACATCCTTACAACAATAGAATTACGCTGGTGTTGCTGTGTAACATGTAAACACTGCCAATTTAATACCAGCGACCGTTAACATGCTATTGTGTGGCTATTTTGTGTTCTCAACAACTTGGGGCCTCTCCTACCATTGAGTGATTTTCAACAAAAGAAACGCTTTTAACATCACAATGGAGGCGCAAGAACGCGCTCACATTTAAACCATCTGTGTACAGCTGTCGATCCGTTTGGGTTTATTGTGGTTTTTGGAGGCTTCCAAATCAAAGATAAAATTCCTTTTAAATTTTAAATTGTGTTGTCTTTATAGGGTTCATGCAATTGTTTTGTAGTGGGGGAAAGCCTCTACAATGTAAATGTACAGTGTAATTGATATTCTGTTGAGTGTACTACATGTATGTGTATAGTTTTAATTTTTTTGTAGCCTTTTATTAAAAATTGTGAGTCTGCAGTTTTCTGTGGTTCTTTAGACACTTGGTCTGCACTGTTCTTACTTTGTTTTATTTATTTCGCTTTGCATTATTTTACTTTCTTGTTATATAATGATTATGGTCTTTGAGAAAAAGAATACTAATATACCGGTACATGTAAATTTAATAAAAAAAATTAACATGAAACACTTACATATATTTGAATGTTGTCAACCAGCCTCAATATTTCAAAACCTTCAAATTTATCAGAACCATGTGCATTAAAAAAATATGACATCTGCGGACATCATGTTTGAAAAACAATGTAAAATGGACACATTACCCCAAAAATGTTTCACTTTAAAGTTTACTATCCCATAAAGAAACCCACAAAGACATTTTTAATTACTGAAATGTTGAGGCTGTCTACAATTATGACACAATTCTGCGGACTGCCTAAAAAAAAATACCCTAATTTATTTAAAACTCCACACCAGGAAGAAATTTGAAATGACAAAAGAATCAACTGCTGTTTTGTTAAATCATTAACCAGATAGAAACCTGTTGCTGGTCTCTTTACTTATCAATTATTTACGATCCTGTATAGTTCCAATGACCCAAGCGATAAAAGTTCACACACATCACAATACGCATGAATAGAATATTATGTACAAACCTCTCAACAGCATTGGGCAAACACAGTGCTGTCATATTTGAACAGTAGGACTACATGTACATTTTACATGCAAGACAATAATCAATATAGTTTCCATGATAATTTTTTAAAAGGTGGGGGGCATTTAATTGTGAGTCATCCATTACAGCTGTACAAGTTACAACTGGTACAAACCACCCTTATGGTCAGTGTGTCTATGGACTATTGGACACACAGTCAATATCACACCAAATATACAATCCAATAATTTTTTGAACTTTCGGATTGCCTTTACAATAAATTTAGAACTATAGCAATTGTAATGTGCAAGCAATCATATAGACTTTGAACACTGAGTAGGTGATAACACAATTTATTTTTCAAAATGCCAAACGGTACAACTACAAGCACCATTTAATTTTACAAAGTGACCCAGGAACTGAAAAGATAAAAACAAAAGATTATACAAAATCAGCAGTGTTTCTGCTACATATTAATACCGGCACCAAATATAGCTTAAGACAGACAAATTATAATTTCTTTTACCATTTTACTAAACATATTTCTTAAAATAAATCAACTTTAACCCGATTAAAGTGTTCACCTTTTCATCCTGGTGGACATTTAAATTTATGGTGTTTTATAATTCGTAAAATTTTCAATTCAACATTTCAGTGCATGACAGTGTCTTAAAAGATATCACAATTTGTTTTTACATCATTTTGTTTGATGACAACAGATTTGAGGTTTAGCAACTTGAAAACTTGACTGACATTTTTATTAACTTTATTTTTCATTCTCTGCATCAAACTACCCTAATTTTTTAAGGAACTTTATATCATATGAGTCTTTTGGAAAATTGTATAACACATGGAAAACACGCTAAACATTGAACTTTTCTGCGTGAACACTTTCCAAGTTTAGTTGCAGTGGCCTTTAAAATTCTAAAATTTTGTGTTGGCAAACGTGAACTGTTACACACTAATATATTATTTAAGTTGGCATGGTTGATCATCACGACTGAACTGTGTGCAAGGTGTTCATACGTATGGTAAAGACAATAGAAGCTGAGAAACGTGGAAGAAAATCAAGTTACTTACGTCTGGGTTATCAATCCCGAAATCCTTGGCCAGTTCGGAAAATCTCTCGTCGGTGATGTACCCAAGATCGTCTTCATCAAGAGCCTCAAAAACTGTCCGAAGACTGGGATCTGTGGCCATGGCCTACAGCTCAAACACTCTGTTCTCCATTAGAGGGGGTTTCGTTCGCTTATGGGGCATTTTTCGAGGAAACTCACGCTGTGAAAGTCGACCTTGAAATCCGAGTCGAGGGCCAACATTGCGCGTAGCGACGTCAGCTGTTGTTTATGTTGGATCTCGCGTGCGCTGTTTGCTATCGATTATGTGCAACTCCTATTAACTGTACTAGACTCGCCTCCAGTCACTGATTTATCCTCATGCATCCGAGGAATGGGCGGGGCAAGATGTAGGGATGATTGTAAGGCGTAACATCTGACGAAAGTTTGTAGATTGTAAGAACTGATCGAGGATGACGTGGTCCTTCAGACTTCCATGACCTTTCTTTTTAGGATAAAAGTCACACGCGCTCTCATTGCAGATTCATGGAATTTTTAAGGGGCGGGGGGGGGGGGGGGGGGTCGTTAAGTTACTTTGTTTTCAACTCTAAATTATTAAGATTACACATACAAAGTACAAGGTTACTCATCATAGGGAAACATAGAAAATCACTCAAGGCGCAGCTCTTACATTACAAGACAAAGCCTTGTGAGGACATGACTCACACCAATAATCACACAATACACAACGACCTTGAACAAAGCTTGAACCTAATGATGCAAACAGATCATGGGTGTGGCATCTTTGGTGAGGCATCTTTGGTGCCGCATCTTTTAACTGGGATCAGTCAGAGCGATTTTTGAAGTGACTTGATTTTTTTTCTATTTTTCCCTTCATAAAATCTTTTACTGTATTGGCTCCTTTATTAATCAGGCATGCAACTTTTCCTCGGATCAGCTGATTTCCTCTTTTTTCACTTCCAATGTGTGCCACTGAAAATAGAAAAACACTGTACAAAGTCTTGGAATAATGTGAATTTCCTCTTTTTTTGTGACTTCCCAGTTCAGTTTATATTAGTGGCCGCGTAATAACTTGGCTCCCAAGTTCAGGTGGTGGGCCTATGGGGAGGGGAGTCAGAAAATTAAGGTAATTGAGGAAGGGGGAGAGGGAGGGGGAGGGGGATACTGTAGCTAGCACTCAGTTAACAATAACAGAAATCTAAGTTTTTTTGCCTATGCCGAATTCTTAGCGCGAGGGGCCGGGGGAGAGGGTTCCGGGGGGGGGGGGGGGAATGGTCGGAATACACAGCTCCCCCCCCCCCCCAGGCCCCTCGTTACGTAAAGGTTCCAATATTCGTACATTTACCCGAGATGTACACATCCTTTTTTCTCTAAGCCGCGTTTTTTTCCCCACAGTACTGGCCTTTGTCGAACCCGATCTGCCTCTCATCTTCGATCGAGTGCCGCGACTGAGAATGAGATCAGTGGTGATCATAATTAGCGCCCTCTTGTGACAGAATAAATTCAAGATGGCAGCCTCCATGCACATTGCTCGTGTTGCTGCGCCGGTTTTACGGTCGCACTCAAGGTAGTTTTTCGTTAGAATTACGTTTTTTGTGTGCAATATCGAATCTAATCTAACTACATCTAATGTCAACATTAGAACTTTATTTGTGAACTCTGTAGCATATTCTGCCTTGAAGTTAGTGACCGTTTCATTTTTATGTACTGTTACGAATACGGATTACGGAAAAGTGACACTGTCACCATGGTCACTGACACTACAGGTGACACTGTGACAGTGACAAGGCCAAAAAAACCAAAAAAATTGTACCTAGGAAAACTGTTGCAACCTGACATTACACTTTTTTTTCTCAAAAGCCTATATCATCTCAATGAATTGAACTAAAAGGCCAGTCTGAGTCATTGCAAAACTGATGACAAGACATGAATCTGGGACTGGTGACAGGTTGCAACATTTTTTCTGTCACTTTATGTGTTTGGAATCATCTAAATACTTATTGTCAATTTAGTTCGAGCGAGCGTGCTGCCTAGTGGATAGCACGCCTGTACATGTATCGCGCAAGTGCTCCGCTTGCGTTCGAAACCCATCTAGGCCTACATTGTTGTTTTGAAACTTCATTTTTTTGTGTCCAAAAAAGTTAGAATTGTCTACTTTGATTGTTTTAAATCCAATCCCACATTTCATTTCCTTTTTCTGTTTCATCGCTCTGGAGGGAAATCAAGTCCGAAATTGCATTGAGTCTGATTCCCATGTTGTGAATACAAAGTCACAATGACAATAAAAGCATGGAACCAGACGAAGATTCGTCAAAGTAAAAATGTCTAAGTCCCAGTAAAAAAGCTAAAAAATTGAAGACCGGGTCACGGTAAAATATCCGCTGCCTTATATTTCATAATTTTTTTCCTGAAAACAAATTCAGTTTCTGTCATCATGCCCGCGGGAAAATAACGCATGGTGTTCGATTCGCTCGAAGGAGAAATTATTGTTCCGGTCATCGCATTCCCAATCCCTCGTCATCACACTCCTCATCACACCCAGCTGGACAACCAAGGGAAGGTCCCCCGGGAGTCTTTGAACAGTTTGACTGGATCGCAGACAAGGCTCCAAGATTCTCTGTTTGTGGCGACCGGATTACAATCCTGAAAGGACCTGCCGAATATTTTGAAACACTGAAGGTGTGTGAAAGTCTCTCATGGATATTTGGCCGGTGCCGTAAATTGTTGTTTTCGTGTAGGCTTTCTCTGATTGGCTTATTTATATTTACCTCGTATTGGCTGCGCCATCTACTTGTAGTAAACACTATTTTCCCTCCAGGGTTTGCTGGAGGAATCAGTGATGACTAACGTTTACTGAAAGAAAGTCGGCACTTAGTATACATGTATATCCACTCCCAAGGTCTGAAGCTTGTAAAATGAGTTGGTTCATTTGATCATGTTGGTCAATTTTCAATTTTGCTTTGTCCCTTAATTGTTTTCATATTAACTCATAGTTTAGCTGGGCACTGGGTATTAAAATTGCAATGTCATTTGACTTGATTTTGTTAAGCCCTAACCTTACCATGGTCCCAACTTTGGCTGGGACCGTCCCAACTTATGTGTTCCAGTCAGAACACTTTTGTTAGGATGGACCCAGCTTAAGTTGAGGCTGTCCCAACTAAAGTTGGGACCAATGGTCAAGTTGGGGCGTAAAAATATCACAAACAATGTGTTTATTTTGACCATCACTCATTTATGATTTTAATCTACATCTCTGCCAAGATGAAATGAAATGTTCTTCCAAGATGAATTTTGAACAATTAGGAACATTTCTACTCTGCATTTGGAGTAATTGCTCATTTGACATCCTTGAATATGAAAATAGTAGGTGTGTAAGATATAGGTCGTCAATAATTATTTCCATTGTTGAAGACTTGAAGACTTTCCAGGAGACCCTTCACTGTTACTTTGATTTACTCAATTATAGATCTTCGGACTTCCGACTCATTTTGTTGGATTGGGGCACAATTACATTTGTAAAGTATGTATTATTACCATGATTGCCATAATTATTAATCATTGTTAATATACTGGAACTTCATTAAAATGCCTTTGCAGTTCTTGCCTTTTTTTTTTCCTTCTCATTTTACTTCAGTTTGGTTTTAAAAGAACTATCATCTCAGTGAGTTAAACCCCAACAAGTTTGAAGAGAACATTGATAAGCTTTTGGGTTATGGGTTGTTTTTACAATTTTTGTATTTTCTGTGTTCATTTCTAGGAACGGATGGAAACCTGCAAGCGACGAGTGGTACTCGCTGCTCTTTATCTGGGCACAGGACCTCAGGAAGATGAACTTGTGAGTATATGAGGCGTATAAGTTCAGTAAAGATGATTTGGCATTGAAACCTCCCAAACCATTTGTTTGAAAGATTTCCTCACAAGGAAAATGTTTTAAAATCTTCCAACTCATCGGTTTCATTATATTGTCAAAGTTGCTGTATGCATTTTGTGTATTCAGCCCTTTCCTTACAAAAGCATCAGGACACCTGTGCTATTTCTGTTATGTTTCATCATGCTGTGCAATACCTATGAGGTGCAATACCTATGAGGTGCAATACCTATGAGGCTCAATCTCAAAAACTCCTTAGACCTCACGAGGTTCAATGAAAACCTCATTTAAAAAAATAAATACCCCTTATTTAAAAAAAAAAATCAAACTTTTCATTTTTCCTCATTAGGTGTTCAATAGACTATACAATGCCTTCAAAATTCAGCCTCATCAAACCTCACATACTAAAGACCTCATTTTAAGATACTTGATTACATGCATATCACCACTTACCTCATACCTCTACTCCCTCTTGTTCCCTTGAAAAGGCGAATCATCACTTTTCTGTCTGTCCTTAGCACGTCCTTTTTCAATTTCTCTGTCAGGTCGCCTCACTTTATGAGGCATGTAGGAGGAGCCGCCTCGCCAACCCCTCATCCCCCTCGAGGTTCAGATTCTCCTGGACTGTACGCGAGGTTCCCGAGGGAGGCACAACTCTCGGACCATGCTACTGCCTCTGCTTCAAGACTTTGAGTCTGAGGTACGGGTGTCTCTGTACCACACCCCGGACCTCAGAGGAACCTTAAAGAAATTGATTCCCGAGAGATATAACGAGGTTATCGGATTGTCCCATCTTAAAGTTTGTATCTTTGACGACACGCTGATTATTAGTGGGTAAGTCCTTCGAATGTTTGAGACTTAGCAAACTGTGAGAAAGAAAGGCTTCAACCTTCCCACGAATTCCTATAAACCCATTCCCTTGTCGCATGTAATGAATTTGTTCCTAAACTTAATGAGATATTCTAAAATTACAACCACCTTATGAAAAATTCACACAAAAATAACCTGGTCTTGAACATAAATTATGTTTTGAAAAAATTCTGATCCTAATGATCAATTAAGGTCATTGCCCATCCAAAGCAACTCTTGGACTTGACTGTCAACAGTTTGAAATGTTCAGTTGCCATAGATCTGAGTTCTCCAAAATACAGGGTGTCCCCAAAACCCGAACCCTCAAAGCGCCCTGCTTTTTCAGCTTTTTTTAACAATTACATCACAAAGATTGATACATATTTTACAAGTATACCAGTTTGAACATTAGATTACCAACAATGAAAAAGTCTTTCAAATCGGAAAAAAATATTGATTGAGTAATGGCCAATTGAAAACAAGTGCCACTTTTTCCATTTTGTCCACGGTGACTGATATTTGAATCTTGCAGATCTGTGAAAGAGGCTACCAAGTAGAGGGCAGCACAGTAAACATGTAAAGAAGTTTTTCTGTATTTCCATCAGCTATGACGTTTTCATCATCATCATTGCCTTTCATCTTTACTCTTTCTTTTAACTTATTTTACAGAGCTAATTTGAGTGATTCCTACTTCACCAATCGCCAGGACCGTTACGTAATGCTTGAAGACTGCCCTCACGTGGCAGACTTCTTCCATGAGCTTGTGTCCGCAGTCAGTTCGTTCTCCTTCCAGCTGAACCCTGATGACACTTTGACCCTTGACCCAGAGGTCAACATCCACCCTTACGAAGGTATGATCAGGTTACGTCTTCTGAACAGAAATCTGTATACGATCTAATATTTCTGGTCTAAACTTTTTAAAACAGGAGGATGTCGGCACTTTTTGCACTTTGAGAAAAAAAGACTGATGTGGTTTGAGTTTGGAATAATTTGCCCTTGAGCATTAAACTGAGGTCTTGCCATGATGACTGAGGTCTTGCCAGGCAAATTGAAAATTGACCTCCTGGTTTTGTAGATATTTTAAAAATAGTCAGACCGACACTTTTTTGGGGACATACTTTATTGCACTATTGATCTGCTATTTCGCGTGAAAGAAAACAAGCATTTGCAGAGTGTAAAGCTTCTCCTTAGAAAAAAAATTGCAATCAGTGATTAAAATTGTATTAAAAAAAAGCAGTATTGTTTATGTTTTTGTAAAAACTGTAAATGGAAAATATTGAATTTTTTTTCAGGGGATGAAAACAAATTTAAAGAGATTGCGAGAGACAGGATACAGCAGGTCCTAGATCCATCCAGATGGAACCAGACTAGTGGTCATGTGACCCAATCCAGACTGACCAATCAGAGCCAAGATGCCAGACACAGCCACAGGAAATCCAAGCGTAGGAAACACAGGAATCCTGGTGATGAAATCGTTGCACGGGAAAACTTGAGAGGAATGCACAAAGATGTCACTTTCTCTGTGGATGAAAGGAACGGTTTAGACCACACTCCGCTTTCTCAATCAAGCACTCCAAGATTCTCGTGGGACGAACAAAAGGACGACGCACAAATGATTTCCAGTGGTAAAATGTTAGCTTCCGAGTCCGCAATTCCGAGCATCAAAATGCAAAATCAACACCAGAGTAGAACTGAATCAACTAGCTCTAATGGCAATGCAAGCCGAACTGAAGTCAGTGACACCCTGATATATCCTCTTGTCCAAATGGGGTCATTTGGGGTCAGAGTTGACCAGGAGGTCACGTGTCAGCTCCTCCAGTCTGCTGAGACGGACTCGCATTGCGCCTTGGCGTCGGGATACTTTAATCTGACCAAGGAGTACATGGATTTGGTGCTGGGGTCCAAGGCTTCCTACAGTATCCTGATGGCATCTCCAGAGGTATAGTTCGGTTCAAGGATTTGTAGAGATGTGTGACTTGAGTCCAGGACTCAAGACTTGAGTCGGTCCCAAATTGCAACATGACTCAAGTCAAGTCAAAAGCACCAATCCAATGGAAGACAAAATGGCGACTTTGACTTAAATCGAGTCGCATTGACAAAATGCTCAGATTTGGACACTTGAATATCATGACTTGAACTTGACATCGAGGACTAGTGTCTTGCAAGTTACCAACAATATCTTCTTTAAAACTTTTGGTAACAAAAATTCTGATTTATGCTTACCATTGCAAGGAAAAACATCCGAGACACATACATGTACATGTATGTAAGTACTCAGGCATGCAACTTTTCCTGGGATCCGCTGTTTTCCTCTTTTTTTTTTGCTTCTCAGGAATTCCATTACAAATTGAAAAATACTGTACAAAGTCATGTGTCGTTTGGAATTTCCTCGTTTTATCTCAGTTCCCAGTTGCATGCCTGAGTACTTCATTTACATAAATTGCTATCCTATGGAATGGTAAGAACAGAGTTACCGTTTATTGTACTGTCCTCAAGTATTTTTGTCAACTAAAGGAAGGGGATTAACCCTAACCCTGCCAGACGCAACACAGTGCATCAGGTGCAAAAGTCTGGTGCTCTTTGGTGCATTCAGCTACCAACACCAGTGCATAAACGGCCGCTTCTGAGTCAATGAGATCTAGTCCCATTGAACAATGCCTCAGTTGTATCCTGCTGCATTTGGTGACCACAGACTCTGAGGCACTTTGGCTTGAAGACTTTTGGCCAGATGGATCTTGCTGCACTGGGCAGGCTTGTCACTTATTAGACAAATGTTGCATGTTGCTGCGTTTGGCAGGGCTCTAGCAAACATACCCTGAAGGGTTAGGGTTAAGTTTATGTTATCTAGTGATATTTCCACATTATAGTATTTAAACTAATAGGTACATGTACGTGTGGCTGATGATTTGTGAGGGAAGTTCGCAGTGCTTTCAATCAATATTATGTGACGGTTTTCTTTCTCCAAATTTATAGGCCAATGGTTTCTTTGGTGCCCGAGGTATCTCTGGCTATGTACCCACGGCGTACACCTTCATTGCAAGGAATTTCTTGAGGAAAGTCGGATGGCGAAAAGTTGCACACAGAATCTCCATGTATGAATACTATCGACAGGGATGGACATTTCATGTCAAAGGTACAAAATCACAAAACTCGTCGGTGAAGGGCAAAACCTAATTTGATCTACATCACCCTGACGCAAAATTCCATCTTATGAAAACTTGGAATTGGAATCGTCTGTCCAGTTTTTGAGAACTCGATTCCCTGTAGTATTTCCTGTCCTTGTGACATCTGACACCTACTATATAATTCTGATGCACTCTTTAACCCTAACTCCCTAGCATGATTTACTAGGAACCATTCTAAGCCTGGAAAATTCCATCACCATATGGGAAACTTTGCACACACATATTTCTGACTTAGTTTCTGGAGGTGTGCCAACCCAATGTAAAAAGACTGTCAGTTTAGGGGTACTGTACCCATCCTGACAGATTCCAACAAAACATGCAGTTGGGGTTAGGTGGGTTGAGTTCTGTTTAAGGCAATTGTGAATAGCAAACTACCTACCCAACAAATAAAAAAAAAAATGTTTTTGAAGTCACTTTGAAAGATACTTGAATGGCAAATTACAAAGTACCATGGTAACAGGACAGGAATATTGTCGTAGTTTGGACCCTAAATTTAAAGAATGACCCGTACACTTTATATTTCAGGCCTGTGGTACTACCTTCGAGATGAATCACTACCTTCCCTCACCCTGATTGGCTCTCCGAATTTCGGTAAGTGATTAGCAATTAAAACGAATATTACAAAAACCTCCAAGAAAGTGTTGTTTTAGAAGGTGGTCAACTTTCGAGGCCGTTTTCTTTGATCGCTAGTTTTTACTGGTATGTACATGGGTGACACTTCGTGGTGGTGCTGACGATATGCACGCAAAGCAATATGCACATGCTGTGTCTTGTCAGGAGGGCTTTTGAAACTGGTTAAAAACTGCCCTTTCTTGTTTTTGCACAGAACCCATACCCTGAAATATCAGACATTCACAAATTTACAAATGACCAGCACTCTAATCAGACTTTTGAAAAAGCATCAAAATTGATATATCATATCTTTAAGACTCAGTGTAGTTTATGCTTTTATTTACTTCATTTACCTTATTTTACCTTATTGCATTAGGTCATAGGTCAGTGCATCGTGATCTAGAGGCCCAGCTGGCAATTGTAACGACCAATCATCAGCTTCGAAATCAACTCCATCAGGTGATTATTCTTAATTGGGCGTGGGAGGGGGGGGGGGGGGGGGGGAGAGGAACAGGGTAAATTAGGCTTTTTCTTTTTATTGATTTTTCATATTGATATGTGCAAAAATATAATATGCCCTTTGTTCTATGTTGAACATATTTTAATTGTACTGAATTTTGGTGCCAATTTTTGTGACGTTAAATTTGCTTCTCATTGCAGTCCGATGATTATTAAACGGCCTTTAGAAAACATTTCGGTTTTTGTTATAATTTATGAAAAGAAATTGCAGTAGTTCAGATTCAGTGATTCTTCCCTCTAGGAGAGGCAAGATTTCTTCAATCAGTCCGAGGTTGTGACCCCGTCGACGTTCAGAAGAAAGGAGCGTAGAGTCCCCCTCTGGGCCAAGATATTCACCATCGTTGCCAGGAACTTCTTCTGAGCGGCAGGGTCTTCTTTTGGGGACGTCCGTGTTGTATAATTCCCCACTTGTCGAATCCCAAGTCATCCAATCTCAAGTCAAAAAGTTAGTTATCACGTTATCAAAGATTTCTGGCTTGGATGCATGCTGAAATCATATAACAAAAGACTCGATGGAGGAATAGCACCACAATGGGGGGAGGAGTTTGTTTAGGCGGTTTAACCCCCCCCCCCCCCCTCGGGCCCCAAAGGGTGCGTTCGAGCGTGTTACTCTTGCTATGACGGGGAGCATACTCTTGCTAACCCGTGGGTCGTACTTCTGCCGTTCGTGCGCTCAGGGCTATACTCGTGTTAATGTGAGTAGCACGCTCGAACGCACCCAGAAAGTGGACCATAATGCAGATAAAGTAGCACATGCCTGCTTATTCCCCCCCCCCCCCTGACAGCTACCCCCCCCCCCCATTGTGCCATAGCTGGATCCGCCCATCATCAGAAGTGAAATCAAGCCACAATGTCATAGAAACTCAGTCACAAATCAATCACAAGTCACTCAGTGTCAAGTCCAGTGACCGGCTATGAAAATGCACTGTCATAAAGGTATTCCTGCAAAGCTGCTGTTACATTAGTGTTTACAAAAATAGCACTCAAGATTTTATTTATTTAGACTTAGACCCCCCAAAAAATAAGTCGGTCTCTGGTCAGCGCGCGCGTCGATTTTAATCATGCGCGTCAATCTTTTTTTTTTCCAAAATGTTCCGCGGTAGCTCCAACAGTAGCTCCTCTATTTCCGCACCTCAATTTTTTTTTACCAAAGAGCACCAAGGAATGGGAAATTGCACCAAGGCAAATGATCGAAAGCACCAAGGCAAATTATGGAGGACACCAATGTACATGAGGACACCAAAAAGCAAAATAGTACCCACCTTGTCTGTACAATCCAAGCTTGAAGAAAAAGAAAAAAAAAAAGCCGCGTGGCCGCGTCAATTCCGGAACTTTGGTCTGACCAGAGACCGAATATTTTTTTTTGGGCCTTATCACAATATTGTGTCCGCAGAAGTTTTGTGTAGATCTGATGGATGGTAGGGTTGGCTAACTAGCCCCCCCCCCCTCCTTATCCAGAATGACCAATGTAATTATTTGCATAACATATATTTATCTTGTCCTAGTAATAAATCCAAAAAGAAATCTGAATTCTTCATCTGAATTGAGATTGATGAAATGCATTGATTCCTTTTGTGAACTATCAATCACTATTTAATAAAATCACTATTTAACTATTTAACAAAACCTCTTTCATCCAAAAATACGATTTCAAGAATCGTCACAATTCCCTTCAAACATCACCAACGATAAAACCTCAGTTTAAAAGTAAAAATAGTCAACCAAGTCCTTTTGAAGGCCCATCTTTAAAAAAACCGTGGATTTTATAAATCATATCGTTTGCCTGTCCGGGGTTGTTAATAAAGATATTGTTATTGACAGTTATTGAAACAAGTATTGTGTCATTTTTGTTGTTGTTCCTAACAGTCAGCATACACAATAAATTGCTGTTTTGGGGACAAAGCAGGTTTTTGGGTCATTGCGTCTAAATGGTAATATTCTTCGAATGGATTGATCAATTTCAGTAAAAAATGTTTCATTTGAAAGTAGCTTATGAAATTGGCTTTCCAGTCATTGTTTTTGGTGCTACATATTTTTTAAAATATGAAGTACAATTTTTGGGGTTTGGGTTCCACTTTTTTGACTCGCCTCTATCTTGCAGAGTAGTTAATAAACTGACATAATTGACACAATAGACCTTACGCAAAGTGGCTGACCGTCTTGGCGAGCATCAGTTGTTATTTTAATTCAGCAACAGTGAATGCACAAAAGGTCCACTTGTGCATGTTCCAGCAAAACAACGGCGAAGATGGCAACTTGGTCTACTTCAAATCCAACAAATTAGGAAATATACTCGGATTTCTCTTGGGTAGTCAAGAAACATTGATTTTTATTAAAGGGAATATACAAAATTTGCAAACATTGGAAAACAAAACTACCTATTTTTTACGAAATAACTTAGTAGGATGTTGGTAAATGAAAGTCTAAAGCATCCTGCAAAATTATGGCACCTGGTGTGAAGTCATTTTCAAGAAAAGTGGTATTTTGTATAAATTTCCAACGGTGGTCGTCCGACCACCATAGGAAAAACCTAACTATTTTTCAACTACTGCTCCAAATTTACCATTTGTTTTTTCAATCCAAATTTTGTTTGCTATTGATTACATGTTCATGAACGGATGCTAGACTGGTTTCCTTACCTTACAATTTTCCGGCACTACTTGAACATTTTTGTTTTTCTTGGTTTTTCCAGCATTTTCGAACACAAAACTTCAAACTTGTCAGTGTAACAATATTTGATATATTATACTAACCCCTCAAATAGTTCATTTCTGAAAATTACACAATGATTGTGGGTAATTTTTCCTCCAAAAGATTATCACTTCTAACAAGTAAACAAATTAAGCCCTGAAGCCTTCCACTTCATTGTAAACTCGATGATTTTGGGCGATTTTCGTAACCTCCAAAGTTGCGTTCCCGTGCTCAAAGTCAATTATTTTTTGCAGGAATAAATTTGTCAACTTGTGTGTTTTATTCCAACAAAAAAAAACCTCCTTTTCCTTGTTTGGATGTACTGGTCCAAATTTCAATCCGAATTTGTAAAAATATACACTTCAAAGTCACTCTGGTCCAACCTTTGAACACTTTCAATAAGAGAGTTTGAGGGTAAAGAAACTCATTTTCGTGTACAAATCGAGAGAGGGTCGAAAGCTATTTTCAAAATACGCCTATTTTTAACCAGAATTACTTTCCTGGGTTGAAATTCGGACCACATATCCCTTACATAAAACACTTTAATTTACGACTGATAGTTCACCTTGGAAATTCCTACTTTTTTTAAAGTAAAATCCATACTATTCACTAGTTAGAAATTGCCGCGTGGAGACCTTCACAAGACATTTTTTATTATGTACAGCAACGTACATGTACGTGGGATCCTCATCATCACGCGTGGTCACTGTGTGGTGAACCATATGAAGGTATACTTTTTTCTGGGTTGAATCCACGCATGCTTTGGTGCATAACGGCACCATTTGAAAATTCCCTCAAAAACGTGTTTCTGGAGCGGTAGTGAAAGAAGCGGCAGCGGCCCTCGCTATCAATAGGAATTGCACTATGGCCGGTTTTACGGCCCGACATTTCACTCCGTCAAAGAAAACACTAATCTGCGAGATTCTGTGGGCAGTTCGGTGTTTCCCTCAATGCACGAGAAACGGGCTAAAACGGACCGGTTGAAAATACAAAATGTCGCCCTAATGTACATCTCGGTGAAACATAGCTTTTCCATTGCAATAGCACTAAATGTGCTCGTAGTCCGGCGGCCCATAGGCAACCACGTAAATGCGGGATTCTGCAGAACCACGAGGGACATTCTTTTGTACACAGCGGCTGCGGTAGAAAATGGCGCTAAAATGCGATTTTCAATGAGGTGGTGCAATTGGGTAAGGAGTCGCTTATCCCATTGAAATCACGTAGTGAAGTGGGTTTCGCCAGTTGAATGCAATTGAACCGGGAGAACCCACACTTCGTGGACGTTAGCAGATCCTTCCGCTTGTCTAGTGTACATAAACTGCTTGGCTTGAAAATGCTCTGAAAACGTGTTTTCTGAACCGATTGTGTGCTGTTTTGTGCAGTCCCCCGTTTCAATATGAATTGCACTACGTTCGGGCTTTGCTTGTGGAAAATGTGACTCGTGAAAGAAAACACCAATCTGCGAGATTTTGTGGGAAGTTCGCCGTTTCCATCAATGCACGAGAACCCAGCACAAATGCAGCGGTTGAAACATAACTGTCCCATTGCAATGTGTGTTTTGATTTATATTCTACGGCCTTATTCACACTGTGTGATTACAGCGCGATCACAGTGTGTTAACCATATGAAAAGGCAATTTTTGTGGGCGATTCCACGCATTCCTTTGTGTATAAAGGCATCGTTAGAAAATTCCCTCAAAACGTGTTTCTGGAGTAGTGGCGCAAAAGGACCAGCAGGGATGTCACTCCATAGGAATTGCACTGTAACCGGCTTTCCTAGCGAAAATTTCTGTCCGTGAAAGAAAACGCCAATCTGCGAGATTATGTAGGCAGTTCGCTGTTTCTTACAATGCACGAGAAACGAGCACAAATTGACCGGTTGGGAAACACAGAAAGTCGCCCTAATGTTCATCTTCCAAACATATAACTTTTCCATTGCAAAAGCACTACGCGTGCTTGTAGTGTGTCGGCCGACAGGCAACCACGTAAATGCGGGATTCTGTGCAATCATCAGAGGCATTCTTTTGTACACGGCGGTTGCGGTAGAAAATGGCGCTAAAATGCGATTTTCAATGAGGCGGTGCAACTAGGTGACAACGAGCTCGCTCATGATTTGTCACCTTCGAGAGAGCTGGATCTGCCCGAGTGCCCGTGCACCAGATTTGAAATCCGGTGTAGCGAGAATATCCATCTCCATGAAACATGGATTCATTGGTAGTACTAGTATTGCGCACAAAATTCCTTAAAAGCTGATGTGACATTACTGTATGTTTTTTGTTCCAAAGAATAGCGCTCAAGTATTGCAATATTCCCAGATAATTTTGTTTTGACAAAAAAAGAGGGGAATCCACGGGGATGGTTTATGGAAATTGTAAAGGAAGAAAGAATTACAAGTATTTACAACAATGTCTCATTCAAAAGTGAATAACTTTTATATATATTGCTATAAAAATAGCAATTTAGAAAAGTAATGTTGGCATGTTATTTTTTCGGGATGAAAATCGAAAATAGCATGAGGAATGTCATTCCATTAGATTCCATTGGATTGATTTATCATTTATTGCTAAATATAGCAACATTTGGGTCAACAATTTCAATCCGAATTTGTAAGAAATACGGACACTTTGAACCCCAAAAGCGTGTTCTGATTTTGCGTAGTTATTCTACGGCCTTACTGTACCGTGCCACACACTACACTGTGTGATAACGGTGTGATCACTGTGTGGTGACCATTATGAAAAGGCAATTTTTTTCTGGTCGATTCCACGCATGCCTTTGTGTATATCGGCCCCGTTAGAAAATTTCCTCAAAACGTGTTTCTGGAGCGGTGGTGCAATAGGACCAGCAGCTATTTCTCTCCATAGGAATTGCACTGCAACTGGTTTTTCTGGGGGAAATTTCCGTCCCTCAAAGAAAACGCCAATCTGCCAGATTATGTGGGCAGTTCGCTATTTCTCTTTATGCACGAGATGGAGACGCTGAATGGCGCCCTAATGTGCATATATATCTGCAAAACATAAATTTTCCATTGCACTAGCACTACGCCCATACTGCCACACTATGTGATAACAGCGTGATCGCAGTGTGTTGACCATATGAAAAGGCAATTTTTGTGGGCGATTCCACGCATGCCTTTGTGCACAACGGCACCGTTTGAAAATTCCCTCAAAAACGTGTTTCTGGAGTAGCGGCGCAAAAGGACCAGCAGCGATTTCACTTCATAGGAATTGCACTGTAACCCGGCTAGAAGACGAAAATTTCCCTCCGTCAAAGAAAACGCCAATCTGCGAGATTATGTGGGCAGTTCGCAATTTATTTCAATGCACAAGAAACCGAGCACAAATTTACCGGTTGGAAACACAGACAGTCGCGACTTAACCACGTAAATGCAGGATCCTGTACAATCATCAGAGACATTCTTTTGTGCACGGCGGTTGCGGTAGAAAATGGCGCAAAAATGCGATTTTCAATGAGGTGGTGCAACTATGACGAGCTCCTCCATTCCATTGAAATCACGTAGTGAGGTCGCCCGTTGAATGAAGTTGAACCGCGAGAACCCCCACACTTCGTGGACGTTTGCAGATCCTTTCGCATGTCTTTGTATTTATCTGCATCGCTTGGAAATGCTCTGAAAACGTGTTTCCTGGACCGATTGTGGTTCGTCTCGTGTCAATATGATTATTCTTGGGGCCTTACAACATTTGCAAACATCAAAAAAAAAAATTACGAAATCATTTTGAAATACCTTGCTAGACTGTTAGTGAATGACAGTGAAAAGCATCCTGTAAAATCATGGCACCTGGTATGGAACCAGACTACAGAAAAATAATTGTTTTTCTTGGTTTTATAGCATTTTCGAACCCAAAACCTCGAAAAAGTCAGTGTAACTATATTTGCTGTATTCCCCCCCCCATTTCTGAAAATTACAGCAAAAGCAAATGATGTATATTCCCTTTAATACATTTTAATACCGGCTTGCAACCGTGAACATAACCGTGCCACACCGTGTGATCACTGTGTGGTGACCATATGAACATGCAATTTTTCTGGTCGACATACACGCATGCCTTTGTGTATAACAGTACCGTTTGAAAATTCCCTCAAACCGTGTTTCTGGAGCGGTGGTGCAACAGGACCAGCAGCGGTTTCTCTCCATTGGAATTGCACTGTAACTGGTTTTTCTGACAGAAATTTCCACGCGACAAAGAAAACGCCAATCTGCGAGATTCTGTGGGCAGTTCGCTATTTCTTTCAGTGCACGAGAAACGATCACGAATGGACCGGTTGGAACCACAGAATGTCGCCCTAATGTGCATCTCGGCAGAACATAACTTTTCCATTGCAATAGCACTAGGCGTACTGCAGCGGGCCGGCTCATAAGCAACCACGTTATTGCGGGATTATGTAGAACGCTAAGGGACATTCTTTTGTATACAGCGGCTGAGGTAGAAATGGCTCTAAAACGTGTTTCCTGGACCGATTGTGGTGCTTTTCTGGTGTACCCCTGTTTCAATATGAATTGCACTATGCCCGGGTTTTGCTTGTGAAATTCTCACTCCTCAAAGAAAACACCAATCTGCGAGATTTTGTGGGCAACAGCTCGCTGTTTCCCTCAATGCACAAACGGGCACAATGGACCCGTTGGAAACACAGAATGTCGCCCTTATGTGCATCTCGTCAAAACATAACTTTTCCATTGCAATAGCAGCAGGCAGTGCTGGCTCATACATATAGGTACCACGTAAATGCGGGATTCTGTACAGTCCGTCCGTGCCACATCACACTGTATGATCACTGTGTGCTGACCAGATGAAAAGGCAACTTTTCATGGTAGATTTTCACATATGCCTTTCTGTATAACGGCACCGTTGAAAACCCCCTCAAAACGCGTTTCCAGAGCGGTAGAGGAGCAACCGGCACAGCGGTCTCTCTCCATAGGAATCGCACCATGGCCGGTTTTACGGGCAGACTTTTCACTCCGTCGAAGAAAACACCAATCTGCGAGATTCTATGGACAGTTCGCTATTTCCCTCATCAATGCACGAGAAACCAGCACAAATGGATCTGTATGATACACAGAATGTCGCCCTAATGTGCATTTCGGTGAAACATAACTTTTCCATTGCAATAGCACTACGCGTCCTTCAGTGCGGCGGCTCATAGGCAACCACGTAAATGCGGGATTCTGTTGAGTCATAAGGGACATTCGTTTGTACACAGCGGCCGCGGTAGAAAATGACGCAAACACGCGAGCTCCCATTGAAATCACGTAGTGAGGTGGGTTACGCCAGTTGAATGAATTTTCACCTGGGAATCTGCCCGTGCCTAATGCATACAGTTGAAATCCAGCAATCAAAAGTCACTCAAAGTCAATCACAAATCATCTATGTGCAAGTTGCTCCGTCTCAAGTCAAACAACCAGCTTAAACAAATGTACTGTAAAAACAAAATGTCAAAAACATTACTGTTCTTTTGTTCCAAAGAATAGCACTCAAGATAATTATTGTTACAATAACATCCCTGAAATATGAAGCCCGGGAAGGGACAGGGTGGAAATTTTTTTTTGGAGTTTGCTAATTCGTTCGCACGAATTACTAATTCGTGGGAACGAATTAGTAATTCGTTCGCACGAATTAGTAATTCGTTCGAACGAATTACTAATACATGCGAACGAATTACCAATTCATTCGCACGAATCGATAATTCGTTTGCACGAACTACTAATTCGTTCCCACGAATAACGAATAGGAATTCGTGCGAACAAATTACTAATTCGTTCGAACGAATTACTAATTCGTTCGAACGAATTAGTAATTTGTTCGCACGAATTCCTATTCGAACGAATAAATAATTCGTGCGAACGAATTGGGAATTCGTGCCCACGAAATAGCAATTCGTGCGAACGAATGAGCAATTCGTGCGAAGGAATGAGCAATTCGTGCGAACGAATTATCGATTCGTGCGAATGAATTAGTAATTCGTGCAAACGAATTAGGAAATTCCAAAAAAATTTCCACCCTGTCCCTTCCCGGGCTTCATACTGAAAAGTATTTTGTGTTGAAAAATAAAAGATGGAATCGAAGTGGTTTTGGGATTATTACAAATTACCAGCCAGAAATTGTAAAGAAAAAAAATGTATTTGCAACGTAGGCCAACGTGGTCAATGTCTCATTCAACAGTGGTCACTTTCGTATTGCTAAAAAGATGGCAATTAATGTTTGCTTCATTGTTTTGGGATGAAACTAAAAAATAGCTTGAGCAATGGAATTTTGATAAAAGCATCCTTATTTCATTAGTTTCCATGGCGAAATATAAAGCAACAGTAGGGTCAACATTTCAATCCGAATACATGCACATGAGTTTTGGTTTGTGTGGGTATTCTTTTGGCACAGTGTGATCACTGTGTGGTGACTATAATAAATGCACAATTTTTTGGGCGATTGCGCGCATGCATTTGCGTGTAACGGTACGGTTTGAACATTCCCTCAAAACGTGTTTCTGGAGCGGTGGTGCAACAGGACCAGCAGCTCTTTCTCTCCATAGGAATTGCACTGTAACCGATTTTTCTTGCGGAAATTTCCGTCCGTCAAAGAAAACACCAATCTGCGAGAATCTGTGGGCAGTTGGGTATTTCATTCAGTGGACGAGAAACAGAGGTGGCAGCAAGTCATTTTTTGCAAGTCCAAGTCAAGTCACAAGTCGTTGTTTGCATGATGCTAAAAATGCGATTTTCACTGAGGATCCAATTGAAATCCAGTTGGAGTTAACTGGTTTCAACTGGAATTTTCTTTCCACTTGGGAAAGCTGGATCTGTCCCGTGTACGGTGCGTGCATCAGAGTTGAAATCAAATAGAAAGTGAAAGTCAATCTTCAATAGCAAGTTGTTCAGTCTCAAGTCAAACAACCAGCTATTCCAATGTAATGTAAAACAATGCATTTCTTTCCAAAGCTAATATTAATTGCAGCACAAGTTAATAAGCATTCAAGATGTCTCATTACAAAGTGAATATTTTTATGTTGCTAGAAAATGAACGAATAGAAAAGGAAGGTTAGCTGTTCAAGTCTTGGGATGAACTCGAAAATTGCACGAAAAATGTCATTTAAAAAGTATCCCTCCATTCCATTTTATTCCATTGCAAAAATTACAGCAACATTTGTTGGATCACAATTTCATTCCAAATTTGTAGGAAATACAGCTCAAACCATGTTCTAAAATTTGAACGTAATAAAAATATAAAGAGTAAGTTATATATACCCGTAGTGTTTGCAGTGGAAAAGTTATATTTCATTATTACTAGGGACATGTACATTGTCATTACGCGACATTGTGTATCAACCGGTCCATTGTACCCGTTTTCTTCGGCATTGAGTTAACAGAAATTATTTTTGGGCCTACACAAGTAGGAATTATATGACATACGCCATTATGTTTGGGCCTGCTAGAAAAGAATTATTTGAAATATGGTAGATATATGGGAAACATGCATTGTTGAAATGGGTAGCAATATACATGTACATTAATGTTATAAATGACATGTATAGCATATTTGTTTTTAAAAATTGGTTGAATACTGTAAATATAATGGTACTTAGTTCTTAAAGTGTTAATGAGCCAAGTTTGAGAAGAGCTCCATTTTCTTCTCGAGCAGAATATGTTGAGCGCCAAAATGTGTTATTGTGTATGCATGCACTGTTTATATTGTCTTTTCACACGTTGCACGTACCATAACTCCATGCACGTACAGATACTATAGAGAGGGGCATAGTTCTAGTACAGGGGGTCCAAGCTTTGTGTTTACATTGTATACAGTGTATACATACACAGTGTACACGTACATGTACATGTACGCGTACATGTACATTGTATACAGTGTACCATATTCAAGTAGCTTATGCACACGGCACACTTGGTCTCATGTGGATACGCCCACTAATAAATAATCTCTTCTACGTCCGCATTGTGGAGATAAATTTGAGCGGCAGTCGCAAATTCGGCATTTCGATTCAATCGTCAACCAAGAACACGCAATCATGTCTGGAAGAGGTAAAGGAGGAAAGGGACTCGGAAAGGGAGGCGCCAAGCGTCATCGCAAGGTCTTGCGTGACAACATCCAGGGTATCACCAAGCCCGCCATCCGCCGTCTGGCTCGCCGTGGTGGTGTCAAGCGTATCTCCGGTCTGATCTACGAAGAGACCCGTGGTGTCCTCAAGGTTTTCCTTGAGAACGTCATCCGTGATGCCGTCACCTACTGCGAGCACGCCAAGAGAAAGACGGTCACCGCCATGGATGTCGTCTACGCTCTGAAACGTCAGGGCCGTACTCTGTACGGATTCGGCGGTTAAGCAGTCAACTACCATCATTCAAACCAACCGGCTCTTTTCAGAGCCACACAATTTCAAAAAAGAGAGAGAAATTCATGTCTGTCTTTTTGTGCTCATTTAGTCATTTATTGAAATAAAGAATAAGTTATAATATAAGAACGAGTAGTTTATAGGCCTAGGCCTAGTACTAGTACTACTAGGCAAGATTTTTTTAAAAGTTATTTTACAGTAGGAATTTGGATCATGATGGCATGGTACGATCCTCGAGAATTTTCCTATTGTAATCTTATTGAGATGGCAAACATTCAGTTATCCCATTTGTACTTAATCGGGTAGGCAATTTCCAGCCACCTTTTGAAAATGAAAGACAACCGACACATCAGTACACATGTAGTACAAGACTTTATGGACATGATGTACATGTACTATTCTGTTAAGTAATACATGTACACTTTCAGTCACTTCATACAATTTTCAGACCCTTTTTAAAATTTAATTTCATCCTTATGTCCCTATAGTTATAATTATTGTAACTGATTATAGAAAGTGCTTCGGGCTAAGTTGCAGATAAATTTGAGGTAAGGCAAAAAACAAATAGTCGGTCTCTGGTCAGATACCTTGGTGTCCTCCATCATTTACGTTGATGCTGCCCTCCATCATTTCCTCTGTGCCCTTCCCCATTCCCTGGTGCCTCTCAGCTCAGCTGATCCTTTCAACATGTTCAAATTATCCGTTCCCCACTGCAATTCTGAATCTCATAAAGCTTTTTATTTTCAGCGCATAGTTAGTACACATCGAACCCGGCAGCTCCCACTTGCAGCCAGATCAGATTCCTCATTTTCATCGTTCAAGACTCAAGTTCTGAAGTTTTTCAAAACAAAATTCAACTGCAGCTTTGAATCCGATGATGTTTGTACATGTACCTGGGTGTCGGCACTGTCGTTGTGCTGGCTGTAGATTTTAATAAATTCCAATTTCTTTTTATTCCGCTCGCCAGTCTTCCATCGGAAATTAACACTCTTCAGTTCTAGTATCGCATACCGCCCCCCTTCTTCCTTCTTTTTTCCCTTGTTTTTTACCCTTTGGCAGTTGTTACTTCCTATCATACGCCCCCCCCCTTTTTGATAAAAAAAATAAATAATAATAATAGGATCTCGTTTTCCTGCGATATAGAGGTGGGTGGTAGTCACCTGGTCCATCTTGCCAGTCACTGGCTTAATCCGTATTCTGGCATAAACTCTTTTTTAATAATTTATTGAAATTGTAAATTCTCTGTTTTTTAATCTGTTAATTATTCTGTATATATTGCAATATTTTTCATATCAACCAGCGGAGAAGTGTAATAAAATAAATAAAATAAATATATAAATAAATACAATTTTCCAAATAGATCATAGGCAGGCGCGTACGCGGGGGGGGGGGGGGGGGGTGTTTTGGCTGTTAAACACCCCCCTTTGCCATGTAAAAATATGGAGGGAAAAGAGAGTTATGTGACCGAGCGCGGAACAATTACAAATTATGTGCATGTTCTCAACTTTAAGCTTTGAATACAGAAGACACTTTATAAGAGCAAGAATACATAGGCCTATATGTATTTGAAACAAATGAAACAAAATATCCCCTCAATTTTAAAAACTTCTGCTAAAAAAATCAGGGGAAAAGTGGCCAGGAAACGCCTCAGATTGCACCACGGAGCATCTACGATCCAAAATTTCCCGGGGCCCTTAACCCTAAAGGGGCCGGGGGGCGGAATCCGCCCGCCCCCCCCTCAACATTTTCCGTGATAGCCTCTAAAAAAAAAATTCGCGACCCGAGCTGTTATGACTTTTTAGCCTCGAGCTTTGCGCATCTTTTGATACCAAATGCATTGCATTACCAAATCGGACCACGGGTTGCCGCGTAGCGAAAAAAATTTCCGGCGCTACGCGCCGTGAAAACTGAATTTTCGCATAAACGTCGTGTACACAGAGCAGAATTGCCATTCGTACATATGAATAATTAATTAGCCATAATTCCAAAACCCTTTGGCCTATAGTCATGAAATTTCTTGGGTATGTTAAGGAAGAGTTGCTCTATGCATGTGCCGAGTTTCAAAAAATTTCGTCACTCGATGGCCGAGATCTTAGGGGGGCGGAATCCGCCCCCCCCCCGGCTGAGAAATGGTCAAAATAACCCGGCCCCTTTAGGGTTAAGCGGGCCCCGGACCCCACGCCGTAAGTGCTTCGCGCTCCGCGCTCGCATTAGTCCTCCGGCCAAATTCCCTCTATGCTAATTTCACCCTAGCGGTGCCCCCACCTTATTTGTACCTCATTCAGCGAATGGCTGAGGCTCGGACTACAAGGGGCCTAAATCCCTTTCCAAAATAGAAAATTGTGAAAAAATACGGAGATGGAACATGGTTCTCAACTTTGAGTACATAACAAACTTAATGAAGAACAAAAAAAAATAACAAATTTTAATGGAATTTTCGATGTTTAAAACGTTTTCTAAACGGTGGAAGTGGCCAGGAATCGCCTCAGATTGCACCACAGAGCATCTAAAATCCAATTTTTTCCCGGGCCCTTAAGCGGGCCCCGGACCCCACGCCGTAGGGGCTTCGCGCTGCGCGCTCGCAGGTCCTGGACCCTTCACTACAATTCTAGGCCCCCCCCCCGGCAAATGGCAGTCTGAATCCGCCCCTGTGACCAGAGCGCGTATGTATCCTGTATCTGGAGTTTGGCCTTAGGGGTGGGGGCGGTTTACACAAAGAATTAGATTCCCAACGGATGAGAATCATGAGATCCAGGGGACGAAGCTGAGTAAATTTAGCCAATTACAAGAACAGATCCTAGCACTTCCGCAGCCTGTGTCACTTTTTTTCTTGAATTTCTTCTTTTTTTTGTTTAAATGCTGTTTGTTGAGGGAGGGGACTGCCCACATTGACCCCTTTACTCATATGTTCATCATAAGACACAGAACATGTTTTGTTTTTTTCGATTTACTATGTTTGGCGCCAACACAAACTCCCGACTTTTATTTTAGCGTTAGGTTTAGCCCACTGATACTATTTTTATTTCGGGCGCCAACACAATTTACCATTTTCATTACGGTCATAAATGATGACATCCAATTTTGAAACACCCCCCTTGAAAAAATCCTGCGTACGCCACTGATCATAGGCCTACCTTAAGTGTCCTCCACATCTGCTTGGTGCCCCTGATTAGTTCCCTCTTCGAAATTCTTCGTGTGCTGCTTTCCTTCACATTTTCCTAAAGCATGGTATACATTACAGCCAAGGCAACTTTTAATGACTTGTTGGACGTTGCCTCCAAGTTTTAAAAACAAGCCCTGCTACACATTCAAAACAGCAGAACTTGTTTTTAACCGATACCGGCAGCTATGTCGGATACGGAGGGGTATCCCCCCCCCCCCAATCTCCATGTGCCCTATGCAAATCCTAGACTATTGTTACCTCACACATCCCTATCCCCCTATAAAAAAATTCCTAAGGTTCTGGTAATTATACAATGACCAACACAAAGGAGGGGGAGGGGGCTCCCTCCGTCTCATATCGTGCACACGTGCGATTTATACAAAGTTAGAGGGGTTTCACATACACAAATGCACGTAACTTTGGCCATGTGCATGTAAAATATTTCCTGTGCATTATAATAATTAATATTTTTTTTTTACTATTTAGCCCATTTTCAAGAAAATCTATCTCAGTTGTGCATCATGTTACTTTTATTTTCTAACTTGACCCCTGCAGTACAGTGTTCGGCTCATGTGCCAAACAAGAGTCTATATTTTAGTATTAATGATATTTTCGAGGTAGGTAGGGGGTACACACATGATCTCATCTGTTAACAAACTGTCTTTGCACTATGGTTGGAACCCCCCCCCCCCACACACACACACACTGGATTCGCATAATACGATATATTTATTTCAACGAAAAATTCTTCAACCTTTGTTTTTTAAAGGGAAAATACAACATTTGCAAACATCAAAAAATAAAACTACCAAATCATTTTGAAATAACTTGCTGGACTGTTAGTGATTGACAGTGTAAAGCATCCTGTAAAATCATGGCACCTGGTATACTTTAATTTTCAAGAAAAGTGGTATTTTTGTATCAATTTCCAACGCTGATCAGCCGACCAGCGTTGGAAAAAAAACTGGCTTTTTTTCAAATACTGGCCCCAGTTGACCATCGCACTTGTTTGCAATCGATTACACACCTATGAACGGGTACAAGCCAGCTAGACTGGTTCCCTGACCTCACAATTCCCAAACGGTATGTAAACTGCTTTGTTTCTTCTTAAATGGAGTCAGGGAACCAGACTACAGGAAAATGATTGATTTTCTTGGTTTTTATAGCATTTTCGAACCCAAAACCTCAAAAAAGTCAGTGTAACTATATTTGCTATATACATTTGTATTTCCAACCCCCCAATTCCATCCATTTCTGAAAATTACAGCACAAGCAAATGATGTATATTCCCTTTAATATATATTTTCTTATACATCTGCAACGCTCTGAAAAAAAAATTGTTTTGGGGTACGTGCTAACGGACCCGCTTTGCGAGCAGACTGGTTCCCGGTCCATAAATTATTGATACAGATTGTTGGACGGGAACCAGCCTACCCCGCGAGAACGAAATTATTAAATTTATTTTCTGGTGCCCAAGTTTGAAATTTGTTTAGTATATGAAATTCAATATGGGCTGATCTCATTTAAAAGCGAATAACGTTTGAATAATTATTGCTAGAAACATTTATAGCAAATTTTATTTTTTTGGGGACGAAACGTCGAAAATAGCAAGGGAATGCCACTTCAATAGCAAGCCAAGGGATAAAATCGAAGACCACAAAATGAGTGCAGATATTGGGATTACATCTCCTTTCTTTAACCGTAGTGGAATGGAAATTGCAAATTTAAAAATAATTGCAATATTGTCTTTTAATTTATACACGTGTATGTACGTTAAACACGTATTTTATTATACACCTGTAGTTTTGAAATATAGATTGGCATATACAGTCCCCTTTTAAAAATACAGGTATAATTTATGAATAGAAAAGTGAAAAGAAAAAAATTAGAATGTATACACAATTGTAATTCTATACCCGACATGTATATTATGTATCTGGTTTTCCATAATTAATTCCATATACACGTACATGTATTATTTCCCCCACATCTCCGGCCCCCTCCATCCAACCTAAACATGCCGCGCACATGCACAAAATTAACACAATGTAAATGTACACAATGTACATGTACATGTACATGTAAACCACACTGGCTGCATGCACAACAAAAGCCATTCACACATGTACTTAGCCAATGAAACCGCCACGCGCAAACCGCCTGCTGATGAATATTCATTATCAAATGCATGCAAACCTCAATTCCGCATTTACGTGGCAAATTTCTTCGATTTCACACTGTAACGAACAGTTTTCACCAAATTATTTCACATGTTTGGTTGTTAAATGTGTTAGTAATTTTCTGATTACCGTTCGATTGTTATTTGAGTGTAACTTTGTCCGAAATAATAAGGTTTTCATCAGCGATAACTGTAAGTTGGGATCCTACGTGGGTTCCTTCCAGGTCTGTTGTGTCTGTGATTGGTGCAACTGTGACCAATGACAGTAAGGCAGTATTGACCAATCAGAGGGCCCGTGCAAAGGGTATATATTGCGAGGCGGTTTCTTCAAATTCCATATTCTGTTCTACAGCAAAACAAGCAAGATGGCACGTACCAAGCAAACCGCACGCAAATCTACTGGAGGCAAAGCCCCACGAAAGCAGTTGGCCACCAAGGCTGCCCGCAAGAGCGCCCCAGCCACCGGCGGAGTCAAGAAGCCTCATCGTTACAGGCCCGGTACCGTGGCTCTCCGTGAGATCCGTCGCTACCAGAAGAGCACCGAGCTGCTGATCCGCAAGCTGCCCTTCCAGCGTCTGGTCCGTGAGATCGCTCAGGACTTCAAGACCGAGCTGCGTTTCCAGAGCTCTGCCGTCATGGCCCTGCAAGAAGCCAGCGAAGCCTACCTGGTCGGCCTCTTCGAGGACACCAACCTGTGCGCCATCCACGCCAAGCGTGTGACCATCATGCCCAAGGACATCCAGCTGGCCCGTCGTATCCGTGGCGAACGTGCTTAAACAGGGACTTGTCCCCATCAACCAACCGGCTCTTTTCAGAGCCACCACAAAGTCAAAAAAGAGATTTGAATTCATGTCTGTTATTTTAAGTGTGTTACTAACTGGCCCACTCGTATGAAATAAACTTTTTAATTACAAGTAGGCCCTACACGTAAGAATTTTCCCACTCGCCCCGGTAGGCCTCGACCGTCAGCTTCTGAACTCGAGGGCGGATCCAACCCCCCCAAAAAGGACCCTTTTAACTTGATTTAAGTGACGTCGAAGTAAAGGCAGGTACAACGTACACCACCATCCCCCCCCCCCTAAAAAAAAGTGGTAAAAGCCGTCAGAAATTTCCCCACATCGAACCAAAGAGCATCTAGAATTAAAAAAAAAAACCCATAAAAACTCGAACCCCACGCCGTAATTTGGGACCCACTTTTTGGTCACCGACATTGTTTTTGCTCCCCCCCCCCAATATTTAGTTTGATCATCAACATTATGAATTTTTGGATTACATGTACCTGTACTCTGGGGTTTCTACTGATTGCATCTTGTACCAGTTCGTTTTTCTTTTATAACAGCTTCCTCCTTTAAAGTTTACCCAAATGTTTCGTTTCTTCTCATGAACTTGTTTGTATTTCTAAATTCTAGTTTATTTGTTTAGTAAATAGTGGTTTCCTTGAGAAAAAGGTTTCAGTTAAAAAAAGTCAATGCCTTTCTTTCTCTGGACAATTATTCTCCGCGGGTTTTGAACTTGGAACTCTTGGAACTTTACAAATTACCTTGAAATAACAGGCATACCCTGTAAGTTGTATTATAAGTAATGGAAAACAAAGAAACACAACGACTTGGGGCCTAATATTTTCCTTTTTATAAGCAGGATGTTGTATGCTATTAAGGCCAAAAAAAAAATAAGTCGGTCTCTGGTCAGCGCGCGCGTCGATTTTAATCATGCGCGTCAATCTTTTTTTTCCAAAATGATCCGTGGTAGCATCAACAGCGCCCTCTATTGCCGCACCTCCTCAATTTTGTTTTTACCAAAGAGCACCAAGGAATGGGAAATTGCACCAAGGCAAATGATCGAGAGCACCAAGGCAAATTATGGAGGACACCAATGTACATGAGGACACCAAAAAAGCAACACAGTACCCCACCTTGTCTGTACAATCCAAGCTTGAAGAAAAAAGAAAAGAAAAAAAAAGCCGTGTCCCCGCGTCAATTCCGGAACTTTGGTCTGACCAGAGACCGAACATTTTTTTTTAGGCCTAACGGTGCTCTTATCAGGATTCCACTGTGCATGTATATCGATCCTGGTCCCGAGTGGTGCATACTCTGACGCATGATTTGGTCATCAGGTGACAAATAACAACCGAATGTAGTTCAAAAATGATCATCTTCTTTCACTTACATCTTTTGAATAAAATTATCAATCATATTCACACTATATAATCAGATAGACTATAATTTGATTTGTTTGGGTCGTGTACGTGAACTCTACTTGAAGGTCAACGCTTGGTGCATTTAAATTACAGACTCAAAATCAAAATGAACCAAATTTCTTCCAAAGGGTTTCCATTCCAATGATGATAAAAACCTGGGCCCAATTTCATAGAGCTGCTTAAGCACAAAATTTGCTTAAGCACGAAAAAACATTGCTTAGTAAAATAAGGTTACCGGCTAAAACTCCATGCGATGTACATTGCTTGTGACTGGTATTTAGCGGTTGTTTACTTAGCATTACAATCGCATGGAGTTTTTGCCGGTAACCTGATTATATTAAGCAAAACGTTTTTGTGCTCACGCAAATTTTGTACTTAAGCAAATCTATGAAATTGGCCCCTGGTGTTAACTTGACCCCCCGTACCCCGTAAGTTAAAAATGCTGACGCTATCATGACGTCATCATGTATCATACATGTATTACAAGCGATTTAAGGTAAAAATTTAAAAACATAGTTGAGCTATATTTGGAACAAAAGAAACTTCTTGTTCGTTTTTCGTGAGGTTGAACCTGATGCCTTTATTGAGCAATATTACTTATTTCCTGGGACAAAACTGTCTGACCTTCACTTCCGTTGTTAAAAGTACAATAACAATTGAATACTGATACATGTACATGTAACTCGAAAGCGGAAGTATTTTTCTATAGACAAATACATAATGGAAGTGTTTAGTGAGGAATGCCAGACAAAACAAGGCGTGGTGACGTCATCATCTGAAAGGGCATCCTCTAGCGGCACATCAAACAGAGTTTGCTTTTTATAATTTTAAAAATAGCCGTCAAAATTTTACCGAATCCAAAGAGCATGAAATTCAGCGTGCAGATCCAAAACAGTATGAGATCATTTTAAGAGGTGGTCCCACCTTGAGACCTGCCGATTTGGGGGCGGAGCTTGATTTTTTTAAAGGGGGTATTAGGAATAAAAAAAACTCAGAAGTGTATTAAACTTTAATTTTCCTTCTTTTTCCATGCCTTGAAATAAATTTGGACATGATAAAACATTCTAGCTTTTTTAAAGTCATACTTTCCACCCAATTTGTGGGCGTGGCCTAAATGTGTAAATGGGTGGTGTTTACGAGTGGTTTCCGATCCAATTGTGACAAATATAGTGGTGTAGACGGAACTGACGTCACACTTACAAACCGGATGGAGCTACCAACCATCAGACCCCACCAGGCTCTGATAGAAAAGCTTACATACTGTAAACACCATCTGACATCATTTGCACAGCTTATTAAACTATTAAACAAGTCCGTTTCAGACCAACTTGGGCCCAGGGCCTGGTCACCAATAATATTCCTTGCCTTCAGCTCCCCTGCCTATCTTAAACGGTCTTGTTTAAAACCGGCAAATCACATATCTATTCCCCTATTATCTTTATTTTTAATGTTTTTTTTTAGCTTGAAAAATCTCATGTGGGTGTGAGAGCATGAGAATAACCTGAAATGTGCGAGTTTCATGATCAATGCATGAGAGTTGGCAGGCCTGCAGAGGTGGATCCAGGATTTGACCCAAATACCTCCCAAATGAAATGTAATAAAAAACCACTAACCCCAACATTATTAATATTTGCACAGAAATAAATGTGCATGTATGTTCGCTCTTTTCAAACTTTCGCCATGGGCATGTACAGCCTCGATCTGGTAACTGTACACAATACATATAGCCCCAGTGTCGGGGTTCAGATCACTGAACCGGCTATTTTTACAGTGTAAAGTTGCCAGATCAAGGCTGTGCATGCCCAATGGCGGAGTGTGAAAAGAGCGAATAGGAACTATTTTTCTTTGTAATTTGTACAAGATACATTTTGGTGCAATGCACAACTGCAAGCTTAACCCGTAAAAACAAGGCATGTTATTATTGGTACGGTTATAACCGTACCTGCTGTATTGCTTCCTACGGCCTTGCTCTGAGTGCTCTCAAAATGTAAGTGAGTCTTGTCATGTCTACGCACATCAGATCGCCTAGCGAAGGCTTTACCACATGTTGCACAAATGAACGGCTTCTCTCCAGTGTGAATCTTCTGATGTTGGTGTAGACCGCTTGACTGAGTAAAGGCTTTGCCACAGGTCTCACAAACGAATGGTTTCTCGCCAGTGTGAACCCTCTTGTGTTTGTGTAGACCAGCTGGCAGAGTAAAGCTTTTCCCACAGATTGTACAACCGAATGGTTTCTCACCAGTGTGAATCCTAGCATGTCTGGTAACATTCCTTTTCCGGGTGAAAACTTTACCACAGGTCCGACAAGCAAATGGTTTCTCACCAGTGTGAGTCCAAGCGTGTTTGGTCAGATCATTTTTCTGGGTGAAAGCTTTACCACAGGTCTGACAAACAAATGGTTTCTCATTAGTGTGAGTCCAAGCATGTTTGGTTAGATCATTTTTCTGGGTGAAAGTTTTACCACAGGTCTCACAAGCAAATGGTTTCTCATCCGTGTGAAACCTCTCGTGTTGGTGCAGATTAGTTTCATCAGTAACGGCTTTACCACAGGTAGAAGAAACAAATGGTTTCTCCTGTGAGTGACTCTTTTTATGTTGGCCTGGACTCGCTTGCTGAGTATTCCCATACATTGCATGAACTAATGGTTTCTCACCAGTGTGAATCGTAGCATGTTCAGTTAGATCATTTTCCTGGGTGGACGTTTGACCATAGGTCTCACCAGCAAATGGTTTTTCACTGGTGAGAACACTATCATGTTGGTCCAGGTTTTTCTTCATCAGTTTAGGCTTCAGCACAGGTTGAACATATGGTTTCCGAACAAGGTGGCTCCTCTCATGTTGGCGTAGACCTGTTTGCTGAGAAAAACCTTTACCACAGGACGCACATACGAATGGTTTCTCACCAGTGTGAACCCTGTCGTGTCTATGCAAATCACTTCGCCGAATAAAAGCTTTACCGCAGGTTGCACAAACAAACAGTTTCTCGCCAGTGTGAATCTGCTCATGTTGGTGTAGACCATGTGACTGAGTAAAAGCTTTACCACAGGTCCCACAAACAAATGACTTCTCACCAGTGTGAAGCCTCTCATGTCGGTGTAGAGCACTTGGCCTAGTAAAAGCTTTACCGCAGGTTGCACAAACAAACAGTTTCTCGCCAGAGTGAATCTTCTCATGTTGGTGTAGAGCACTTGGCCTAGTAAAAGCTTTACCACAGGTGACACAAAAGCATGCTTCCTCACCCTTGTGCATCTTGCTCTCGTAGACTTCTCTGTCAATTAGACATCATCACAATTCACAGATTCATACAAACAGCTCTTCCCCAGAGTGATGAAGACTGTTGAAGATAATTGTACATGTACATGTACATAGTTTGCGAAGGCTTCACACAGAGGAATTGCTACCCGTGTGCATCCTTACACAATTGCTTAGATGCTCTTCCAAGACAGGGCCTTCTCACAGGTTGCACGAAGGAATGGTTTCTCACCGTGCGAACATATCAGCTAAGGTCCGTTCTGGTAAACTGCTTATCTTTATGGCTGACTGAATATTGCATGAAATTCTGCGACTATCGGTCTACACAGAACCGTTTTGACTATGGAAGCATTATCACCAGCGTGACCAGGGCTGGGTGCTACCCCCTCAAGTCTCTCCTTGATTGATCCAGGGCTTTGCCGTCAGAGTTGTAACCAACTGTGTTGAAAACATAAAATATAACATTTAGTTTTACTTACAAGCTTCAATTAGAATTGCAAAGTGGGCAACTCCACCTACACAACACACAACAGGTTGCATAGTTTCCTGTCCCCATAAAAAAGGCTAGAGCATAGCCTCATATAAAAGAAATTTAAGCTTTTGACAGCAGAAAACTATTAAGTCTTCCCATGGCACCAATCACCAGTCCCAGAGGTTTGAATGTTATTAGTCAGATTTGGATGACAGCTCCATTCTCTCTTGACACAACTTCAGCGATGCGTCCCTCGGGTGTTCAAAACATCGTATCTCCTTGATCTTTTCTGAATTTTTACACATGGACTAGAGAGACTGGCAGCAACTCCAGTCCATCATGGTGGTCCAGTGAGTTGGCCAAAGGTTACTTTTACTTTACTTTATTTCATCTCAAGGTATCCAAGAAAACATTTTGTACTTAAAATTTAAAATGATCCCTGTAGCTTTAGAAATTTATGATAAGAATAACATCTAGTTTTGCTTGACCCATCTTATCTACCAACAATTCCTTAACACATGAGATTCCATTTTTTTGGGCCCTTAGGCCTACTTAATAAATAATGAAGAAAATAATCTTGTTTCTCTGGATGGGCCAGTTCACGGTTAGCGGATTTACAAAACGTCTGGTGCGTTGTGAAAAGCAGTCGTGGAAAGCAAGACAACGCACCAGACAACATTTGAACCTACTAGCGGTGTGGTACCCACATACATCGTGCAATTTCTTTTTGATAATCATCACCTGATGCATTCATTTGCATAATTTAGTAAACAAGATGGACGACAGCCGTTGGAACTGGAAGGTTTTTATGGACAAGCCGCCGAAATCGTCAAAAATTTTCACATTTTTTTTTGGTTCTGTTTCAAGTTGATCAGTAAAAGTACAATTAGCTTCGTGAATGACTGCTGAATAGTGTGAGGTATGTCCATGGAATCTGGGGTGGGATTATAGAGGTGAAAATGGACCATTTTTGTAGAAGCCTTTTTTTATAGGGTCTCTTGCTACCACACTCTAACGAATAGGTTATGTCTCCAGCTCTACATGTGAATGAATGATAATTATGAGCATGTGTGTGAGTTACTCAAGCTAAAGCTAAACATTCTAAATAAAAACCTTGCCAAAATCACGCAAAATAATTTACACAAAAATACCTTTGAAAACACTTAGTATTGGCTTCTTCACAAGTTCACTTCTCAAAGACTAACTACCAGACTTCTGGGACTTCAGTGGCAATCATGATCACTTAATACAGGTCACACACTCGTGAAATTCAACCAGTTTGGGACTCCGTCTGTACGTGAGCTGAATTAGCGACCTTCAGGGTGACAGTAAAGATGTGACTAAATTCTGCTAAATGCGCTTCAAAAATCTGTCAGATTTATCAAAAATCTGCCAAATTCACCAAACCTACTCAAAATACACTATAAACACTTAAAATCACATGCAGATGTTGTAATATTGCCTTAATTAATGTTCAAATTACATTATAAACAATCTATAGCCACATAACGATGTTATAAAATTGCGTAAATTTCAGGCAAAACGCGATTGCATCGCGACGAAATCCGGTTCCCGGTGAACCTCAGCACCTAGACCAGGCAACCTGTCCTATTTTGCAAGGGTTGGTTCAAAAAGATTGAAGCTTTTTTGTAAACAAATCTGCCCTTTTTTTTGCAAATTTGCTGTTTTTCTGTCAAATAACCATTTTTCCAGAATTCTGCCAGAAATCTGCCAAAAAATCCATTCTGTCAAATTTTCTGTCAAACTCGTTTTTTAACAAAAATCTGTCAAAGTTAGCCGAAAATCGGCTAAAACGGTCACAATGGCGATCATAATACGCGGCGCCATGGACGGACGTACATGTACTTACAAACATATTAGTGAAGACTAGGGACACGACGATGAGTTACTGGACAAGCTCATCCCCTGGAGAACTCTATGCGGTCCAACTCGTTTGCGGCCAAACTCGTATGCCTTTTCGGGTCACGTCCAGGGTTATTATACAGCTCTATGCTATGGTCACGTCACACTTAAATACCGGGCGCTAGGTCAGCATATTTTTTTTTCTGAAGTGGAGTATTTTGTGAGCTACTGAGTTGGTCCCAATTAGTTGATTTTTAAATCACCTTTTTATTGTCAGAAACGATTTTTCTTCGGACCTTCGAAACCATGGACTCTCTGGACTCTGCATGGCGCCCCCGGCGGACAAGCACAAAACAAGTTAATTTTAACTCTTCAAATTTATTTGGGAATGGTTAATGTGTAGTCACGTCAGAAATTTGAAGTTTATTTTTCAATATTACATGTACTTTGAATGCACTAAAATGCAGACATGTTTTTTCTCTGGACACTTGGTCTCCGTAAACTCAAAAAGAGCCCGGGGGGGGGGGGGGGATTGGTAACTATCTTCCAAATGGAGGCAATCTTCAAAATTGACCATTATTATGCATACTGGAAAAAACAGATGCCGATTTTCACGGCGCTTTGTATTGGTTTTGGAGCTTTTGCCACCCCCACCGTCCCCCCTCTGGATACGCCCCTCGGGGACCTATGCATATTTCAGGTCAAATCTGACCCCAAGAGCGGATCCAGAACGAAATTGGGGGGGGGGGGGGGGTTGGAAAAAATTGTTTCCTCGAACAGAAGGTGGGTTAAAAAAATTTCCACACAGAAATTCTCATGACAAGCATTTGGGACAGGGGGGAGTCGCCAGGACTCTTCGTGGCATTGGTGCATGCGTGGCGACGCTATTTGAATGCTGCCTTCAGATGATTTCATTTCAGCAGTCCTAATAGTGGTGTTATTGCGGTTGTCAGTTGTTCGTTCGACCCATACAAACGTAAATAACACAAGAACAACCAAAACAAACAAAACACAACAAAAGACGGTGTAGTTTAGAGGGCGTCAATCGCTTAAAGTGGATGGGGACATTCTTTGATCAGTACTACGAGTGTGCTGTTTTTAAGTTCACATTTCAATTGTATAAGGGCCGTTTAACGGTTTAATATTCGCGTTTTTGTGTGTAAAACTCGATACATTTTCCCTTTTTCTTAATACAGATTCAGAAGCGGGAAAAAGTAAAGGGTTCGTTTTTCCTTTTTCCTTACCAATTAATAAACGGCAATTTGTGCTCTTTTTCCTTTTTATTTACAAAGATTTAAGAAATGGTAAAGCTGTAACGGGCTCTGTTTTCCTTTTTCTTTCATAGGATTTTAAACCGGTATTTGATCAGACGGTAGTACACGGATACAAATCATGTATGTGATGAGAATGATTTCTTCGAGTTTCGAAGGTCCGGTTTGAAGGAATTTATTTCAGGCTATTGGCAATCCAGTCATCTACAAATAGTTCGTCCAGCATCACTTTTTAGAGAAAAACATCAATAATGCCTTGAGAAAACGTTATGTTGCATAATTGCATAATAAATTACCATAATTATTTAATCTTTGAAATTCCATTTCAGTATACATTTCATTGTAATTTTATCCTGTGTCTTAACTTTTTATATAGAAAGCGCCTTGGAGCATGATTTTCTTCATGGACGGGCGCTATATAAATTTTAACTTATTATTATTATTATTATTATTATTATTCCGGTTTTAATAGACACACACAGAAAGCTTGATGAAACACAGTGACACCTTAACAAATATTCTGTTAGCCATGCATTGAATATGACCAAAACATTATTTGATGCATAATTTTATAATTCATTACCATATCAATAATAAAATGATGACATAATGACATCAAAAACTTGATTTTAGGTTAATAAGATCATTTAGTCATCTACATTTATAGGGAAAAATTCAATTATGACTTATGGAAAACCTCAGATTTGCCTTTATAACCAGTTTGCATTAAAACATTGTACGTAAGTACTAAGTATACGGTCTAAACATTGGATGCATACTTAACAACCGTAATGAAACCTTATTGTCTATGAACGGACACGTTTTTAAAGTTAATTATTATTGATCATTCTAATTGGATGGCAATCTGCATTGAAATCGGAGGAGCTGTTCCTGAGATCTTTTACCATAACCACCACAAAAAAACCTTCAAAATCCAACTGCGTGTTTACTTGAGTCTGTTGGAGTGACTGATTTAACTGTGGATGAAAATTGTGCATAAACGTGTGCAACCTGACAGCTTGCATGACAACAGACAGAATTCAATTCAGCACCCTTGAATTGACAAAGAACAATCATTATTATGTTGCCACCAGAAAATATGAACAGAATTCATTTTCTAGGCGAGATACGATTTCTGACCCACGGCCTATATAATATTAAAAGTGGCCATTCAAATAGTGCAGTGGCTGAAAAGCTATGCCAGGATGGAAATGAATGTGTTGTTTCCTCATGTGTGTTTTCTAAGAATAATATACCGGTTAAATTTTAGAATTAATATTACAATAAAGTTCTTAAAAGTAAATATGTACTGCATATAATCACAGGTGTTTTCTTCATCGAAGCCAGAAATGTGTGTGTTTTTCTTGAAAAGTAAACAAATAATGTCAAGCCCTGTAAGTATACAACTTCAATTATCTCAATCGATATGTTATCTCAATATTTAGGCTAAATGGCCCTTTGGTTGAATAAAATTAGTATTTTTCGCAAGTTCATTTCAGCAATTGTGTTTCTTACCAAACATCTTACATCATCAAAGGAAAAAGTAATCTATTTGAAGGCATATTATTTTCTTCATTTCATTCTAATTCTCCCACGTAAATCCAGTTCAGATTTAATTCAGTCAAAATTAAATTTCAGTTCTCTTCTGAGTCTGCTGTTATCACTATATTCGCAATGTTTCATTTTGAAAGTTTCTCTCGTACGCCACGGCATTTGCCGAACATTCTTACATTGTCACTAAGAAAGTGGTTATAAAATATACCACAAATAAAAGAATTAGTCACAACAACCGTCTTGCGTCAATTAATATACATTGATCTGGAACTAAAAGCTGGAGCTTTCTAGCATCACTGTTGCATACAGCAAACAAGCATACATGTAGTGTACTAACATTACACAAAAAGACACCTGTTTCTTAAACTGAAGTTTTCTTGCATCAGCTGGTCAACAAGCAAAACAAAACCATGGTGGTTACAAAAACTTACCAAAACTTAGGTTCTCTCATATCAGCTATGGAATGGACCGTGAATTGATATATTATTACACAACCTGCTTGGATGCATTTCTTATTGGATGTAACAATACGACTCTTTGGAATTCAGAAAATATCTTACAAAAGCTGAAGTTGCCTTCCATCTGCTGTTATATACTTTATATACAATATGCATAGAGTACTGTTTATACTGTATATACACGTTCATGAAATGCCTCTTGTTTAAAAATACATGTTCAACTAACATTACATCCAGTTTCTTTTAGCGAAGAAATTAGTTATTTCGATGTATACTGTTTTGACAAATCCTTAACAGGATCTCAAGACTGCATATACTTTCAGTTTAATTCCTGTAGACATGTTACATTCAGTTCTAGAGATTTCTTCTTGCTCCAATTTATTATTGTTTATTGATTATTCTTTCAGGTGGGGTAAAGATGAATTCCCTGGCAATTTTGTTTTAAGATAACTCATATTTTTGCCCACATTTTTTCTTATAATAAAGTTGTATTTAATATTAACAGTAGTGTGCGAGTCATTATCATGACAGTAGCAATTCAATGTCCGATCAAAAAGTGCAAATGACATGTTTTTAAGCCGCGGACGCTACTGATTCTTGCACATGAGCCACAAAATATATTGTTTAAATCTTCTAATATATTTATTTCATGTTCTTGTCTTGGGCGTGTACATGGTTTTGTCTCTGTCAATCCTCAAATGACTCAGAATTGAGAGAAAATAAGAAAGGAAATTCACCTTTAAGGAGAAGAAAGTGAGAGAACAGTTCTCGACAAAAACCTTGCGAGAAGCTGTAGCTTTTGCCCTTGATGGGAAACGAACCGGAGACACTAGATTTTTGTGCGATGGTGCAATTAAAGTACCAGGCGACCATCCAAATGTCCAAACAACAGAAACGGCCATTATTCATATGGACAGAACTAAATGTCAATTTAGCCTCAAGCGACCCGAGTTGGATGTGAACTTCACAGGAAGGAAATTCATGGCTAAGACGTAAGAAGAGGATGAGAGAGAACAGTTCTTAACAGAAACATCATTTATTGCAGCTGTAGCATTATTCCTTGGTGGGAATCAAACCGAATGGTTGTGCAATGGGAGTAACTGGCCACTACCTCAAGAACACATCCAATGCAAACAGCCACGATTTAGAGCAAATCAAGCCTCTCAGAAACCCTAGTTGGATGTTAACCTTCAACTGAGACAAAAGACAAGAAATAATAAAGCAGATAGCCTGATTGACACAATTCAGACATCGAAAGAAAACAAGGTAATCCTGGTTGGATTTGAACCGTAGCCAATGAAAGATGGAAGGTGAGAGAAGTTCGTAGCACTACATTAAGCCGAGTCATTCCACATTGCCAAGATGTGAACCAGGTACCAATTGTGCAGAGGTAAGCAAGTGCTGCAATGCCAAGCTTCGTTCGTAGACATGCTGAGGCGGAAGGCAAAACTGAGTCATTCCACTTTGCTAAGATATGAACCGAGTACTAATTGTGTAGGCCAAGCAAGCACTGTAATGCTTAGCCCATTAGTGCAGTAACACTGACGGAATTAGAACCTTGGACAAGAGGAGGTGCATGGAAGGTATGAAGGGAAGTACGTAGCACTACGTTAAGCTGAGTCATTCCATAGTGTCAAGATGTGAGCCTAGCCGGGCACCGATTGTGTAGAGGCAAGCAATCACTGCAACCAAGGCGATCAATGGAAAAGTCTTGACTTGGTCTGAACCGTGGACATGCTGAGGTGGAAGGCAAGTGGTGTAGTGTTCCAGTTGATGAAGCTGTGAATTCATACAGTCACTTGGTATGACACAGGTGCCAGAGATAAGAGTAACACATAATATTTATTTCTGTGGCTGTATTCCCATCAAAATAAAAGATATGGACTTTTGAATTACACATCGAACAAAAAAACAACAACGACGTTTAGTTTTGAATTATTTTTTCACACAGTTTGAATTATTAGCGACCAAACAATAAATCGGCTAACGCAGGGAGAGTTAATTTCTGCGAAAAAATGAAAGCCCATATCCTGAGGGTTCAATCGGGCCAACCGGCCAAGTATAGTTTGTTGTCGTAAAAGAAAAATATATACATACAAAAAACATCATTTATTAAGAACACGCAGTATGCAACTTGAACTATTCTGCCAAACCAGCCTTAAAAAAATACGCCAGATCGGCATCTTTATCTATCTTTCATTTTCTTTGGTGTATTTCTCAACGATGTGTTATGGAAATAAATATCTCTGTAATAAAAATCATAGCAATACTTTATTGTCGATATGAATGTAATAATTGAATGGAAGATTTGCGGTAACACCTTGTGAATGAAAGATATCTTTTAGTGAGTTGTGTGGGTCTGAGAAGAACCAGTTGATTTAACTCGACGTTTCGAACAGTATGCTCTGCTCGTCTTCATGAGTACGAATGAAATAGCTCAACAGCCTACTTTGGAATTAATGTGATCCAACTGATAAGAAATTCATCAAATCAATGTCCTCTTTCGTTATCAGTTAATTAAACACAGCTGACTTTTGGGAGATTTTGCTTGGCCACCTTCTTGAAATCCTCTGTATCGGAACCTTGGTAACCAAGAACCAAAAAGGCTAGTTTAGGCAGATCCCTGAGATGAGTGGCTAGATTCTCCACTCCACCCAAACTGAATGCATTGCCTGCAACATTCAGCAACCGCAAACCATCAGGCAGGATGCTGATCAAGTCCGGGACGTCATCATCTTTCAGTCCACACGATTTTAATATCAAAGACTTCAGGGGCCAAGGAACAAGAGCGGCTACACCAACAAGACGGCCGTGGAGGTTGGTACCGGACACAGATAGAAATATCAACCGATGGCAATCAATTTCACCCAGTACATCTCGTACGCTAATGATGTCTTCATACGTTCGGTTTTGCAGATAGACACTCTCGATGTGATTGCATACATGGGACATGGATCCTAACGCAAAGTCTTCATCAAGATGAGACAGCTCATTGATATTCAGTGTAAGTTGTAATTGATCGCGAAGCCCCTCGTCCATCTTCTCAAGAGTTTCTTCCAAAGTCTTCACCTCCTCATTTGCTTGTTCACACATAACGTAACAAACCAAGAATGTTTTCCAGAGTGAACATCTTTTACCTAGCCGGATATTATCACTCAGTACCATATCCCTTAGCAGCTTCAGGTCGTCATGCGATCTACAGGTGATAATGAAATTAAGCATTAGTTCAGTGCTGTCACGCAGTCGATCATTGATATCACTCAGCAGCGCAAATCCGTCATGCGTTCCACAGTGGACAGTGAACTCCTTCAGTTCTACTAGTGGCTGACGGAGATTCTGCAGGTAATGGTGCATCGCTAGCAGATCCTCCTGACTTTTACATTCAGCGTTAGTTGGTCGATCTAGCTTAATGGCCATTTTGTCAGAACTGGACTCGAACAGTAGAAGACGCACCAGTTTCTGTAGTGAAACCTCCTTCGACGATTCCCCCTTGTCAAGTTGTTTTTGAACGTGCTCCAGGATGAGTCCAGTGGCCGGAGACCCCTTCAATATGCCGCATGCAAACCTAAGCACATAATCCAGTGCATGGACATTGTCCGGATTGATCTGCTGCAACCTCTTCCGAAACCCCTGTTCGTCGTGGTTATACAAGTGCGCAAAGTAGTATGCCGCACCATACTCCTGAAAGGTCTTGTGGATGAACGTGACTATTATCTTCCTGTGGAAGTCGCTACTTGTGTAAGTTTCCACCTGAATGAAGCCACTCTCTCCAGATGTAGTCTCTAAGACAGATGTACGGTCACGAAACTCCAACACCAACTCATTCACCCCACTAATTAATGCTTGAAATGCAGCCTCTCCAAGATCTTTGAGTTCGGAATCCAACTTCTTCTCGACCTCCTCGCGGTGTTCATTTTCTGGACAGCGGCGCTGTGCAAGAACCTTTGTGAATCGTTCGTACATTGTCGTTACACGGTCAGACAATTCAGCATAGTTGCTGAAAACTATGCACATTATCTGACAAAGAATTGGAATCTGCGCCATATTCTTCCAAAGGTCTTTCTTTTGCAAGCACGTAATTAACATTTCTGCTGTACTCTTCGTATCACCTGTGAAGTGCTTCTTGATGTACTGATTAGTGCCTTCGGATGTGAAACCATATGTATGAACGAGAGCGAATCTTCGCTTGCATTTCCAAATATCTTGCACCTTATGTGGCCGTGTTGCCACCAACACGCGACTGCCTCGTAAAACCTTGTTATGCAATAAATCATAGATACAGTATTTGACATTCTCGTCAAGATCAAGCAAACCGGGCCGAAGTTCATCTAAACCGTCCAATAAGAACACACTTTCCTTTGGATGGTCAGTAATTATCTTTATTAGCTCTTTGCGCTGTGGCTTGATATCTCTTGCAAAACATTGGTCGAAAACTGCATCAATGATGCAGCTGGTTTTCATGCTCTTTAACTCAATAAAGAATAAAAGCCTGCAATCGGAATACAAGCCACTTTTTGCCCAAGTATCTACGATTCGCTTAAAGATGGTTGATTTGCCATGTCCAGCCCCACCTGAAAGAATAATCAACAACTCCTTAATCTTTTCCGAATTTAACAAGTCATGCAAGGAGTCTAATGGCTTTGTTTTAGCTGTATCAATTGTTAAATTTCCAACAGTTTCCTTTTGCACCGTGGAATAATCATCTTGACCCAGACGTATCTCGGTGTAAAACTCATCAACATCCACAAGATGAAGAGGGTCCTCGGTGCAGGTGGGGTGTTTAGAGATGAAATCGCTGCTGTTGTAAGTCATTCTTAGCTGTTCTTGACACGATTTAAGTTCCCAAGGTCCTGTCGATTGAGAAAAGATTACATCTGGATGTTTCACATGGCACATAAAACCAGGAAATCATAAGGACCTCAGACTGATTATAAAGGGCAGCACCCTGCCGTTGTAACCGTCATGCGTATAACAACAACGAAATACCATTTCATAAAGATTTTGAGTTATACTTCTTACTGTCAAACAGGTAGGCTAGAAAAATACATGGCATTAAAAATAAAATCAGTTCCAATGTTTCTTTCTTCTCCTTGTTGCTCTTTTTAATGAGAGAACAAAGTATATATTAGATAATTTGTTGCGGTTTCATTGAAGATTAAGTAGAGCAAACTGCCTTTTTAAAACCGATATTGTAATGGACGTCTTTAATTTCTCACATAACGCAGACAATGAATGCACAGAGACAAGTATTTACCAGGCAGAAGAAATCCGGCAATATCTGCTCTTCTGATGTTCTTCAATGCTGCGCTCAACTTGGTTATCTGCCCTTCAACACTGGTAGCCTGGGCATGTTTCCATTTTACAAGCATTTTCAAACCTTGCCTTACTACGTCGTTCTTGATATCTTTCTCGATAGTTTCAACTTGAGTCACAGTAAAGCCCAGCCCAACTGCTAGTTCTACCCAATCACGACCAAGCTTCGTAGCAACCTCTTGCAGAATTTTGTCATTTAAGCATGGTTCTGAGGAAAAAAAAGATAAAATAGGCATACTAAGTACTGTAATAGATAATTATATCCCCATGAGGTTAAAAAATAATGTGTTCTTTTTGGTGCCAAACTGCAGACCTCACAGATTTGCTCCCCGTTTTCTCCTTTCATCTGCTGGTCACATTTGGGGCGAAAATGGCAGCCGAGTTTGTATAAGTCTACCCCTGCATAGCTTCTCTAATATCAAGACTCCTGCAGTGTCTCCTCGTGGCAGCACACGGTAACTGGGCATCTTGCGATCCCAGGCTGAACTGAGGGGATCTCGGAGCAGCAGTGGGTCTAAAAAAGACATGGTGTGCAAGCCCATGGGCCAGCACATCCACACCGGTGTGTGGATACGACCTTGCGTCATGTCAACCACCGCCTCAGCTATGGGTGATCCTTATTAGACTAGGCAAGGGCGGATCCGGGGGGGGGGCAAAGGGGGCCATGGGCCCCCCCCCCCCCAAAAAAAAAACGAAACCAATTTTTTTTTTTTATGTAACATCGCAATAAAGGCAGGCAATGAGTACACCACCATCTTTTCCTCAAAAAACATTGGTTAAAGCGGTCAGAGATTGCCTCAGATCGCACCACAGAGCATATAGAATCCAAATTTTTTTCGGGGCCTAAAATTGTGTTCTGGATCCGCCATTGGTACCAGGTTGAAACTTTTGAGGGGGTTTAGCGTTGGGCCTGCTCCCCAACCTCCCAAATCAAAGAACGGATCCATGTGGGCCAGATCGGCAATAACAAACGAGTTGACTTTCGTATGAAGACACTTGTTGCTTCTTGGGATGTTATTACACTCAACTCAACCGGAGCTCCCACCTTACCGTGTAACAAACTGGCGCGGTACATAATGTAAGCATTGCCGGCCTTAGAGAAACGAGATGGATCGGCTTTGGCGAAGCAACGGTGGACAGCAGTGGCGTTGCCATGGGGGGGGGGGGGGGGCCGTGGGTAGCGACAGCCCCCCCCCATGAAACCTTGTCGCCCCCAGTCAACCCCCCACTGAGATTTTGAGTTTCTTAAAAAAATATCATTGATCTACATGACGCCCCCCCATGAAATGTTTCAGCCCCCAGCGCCCCCCCCCCCCACTGAAAAATTACTGGCTACGCCACTGGTGGACAGGTACTACTTCTTGTGGTCCGGCAAGAGTGACCAACACTCTTATGGAGTGGTTTTGGCTTCAGATCGGAAGCCACATGCATCCCTGACCAATTGGTCTGCAAGTTGCCTCCCGTCTTCTTCAAGCGCAAGCCCACCTACACCACCGGCATGGCAAACTCTCAGCCATAGTAGCTTATGCCCCCACCAACGTAAACTTGGACGAGGAAAATGAATCTTTTTATAGCTCTCTCTCTCTCACATCCTGAGTTTCGTTATAGCCGCCACAACATCATTTCCTGCTCGGAGATTCAACGCCACCATCTCCTCCAGCCTAGAGTCCCGTGCCTGCTGGAATGGTTCCATTGGTCCAGTGTCCCCCGATTCTACCAATGACAATGGGGAATTTCATGGAAATATGAAGCATCCATGGCCTCTCCATCGCAAACACATATTTCCAAAGGAAGCGGATCCACCGGTGAACCTGGATCAGTCGCAACTGCATTACCAGAAAGATAATTGATCATAATTATAATCATAAATTATGGATGGCTCTCTTCGGTCCAAAACTGTTGCACATATCGCGTAGCGGAGCTTGGCGCTACTGACCATCGCTTGGTCATTGCTGACACCGTGCTTACGCTCAAGGTCAGCCACTCAGCTGTGACTAAGGTGAAATTTGACAGCAGCACACTGAAGAACCTCCAAACGCAAGCTGCCTTCACGCCGGATGTCTCTAACAGATTCTCAGCCTTCTCCTTCTTGCCCAATCAAACTGAGCCTGCTAGGTGGCACACATTCCACCAAGGCGTCACGCAGGGTGCTGCCAATGTGATCCACCGCAGGTGGAAGCCGCAAAACCCTGCATCTCGACATCTACTCTCAATTTTATCGAGGAGTGCAGGGAAGTGCGATTAGCTGGAAACCAAGTGCGATACCATGCCCTCCTGTGCAATTATTAGTCGGAATCAGGAGGAATATTGGAACAGCAAGGTGGACAATATTGACGCCGCAGCCAACCGTCATGATTATGAGAACATGATCAGGGAGCTTTGCACCCTTAGTACAGCCAGTTCATCCATCAATACTATCAGCTTCGTGAAGGGCAAGGATGCTTACTACTAAATCTTAATGCTTGTTCAGATGGCAGCAGCACTTTCCTGACCTTCTCAATAAACTTCCTATTCCTCCGGTCCTGACTCTTGTCTCTGAGGTGCAAACTTGCACCTTTCAACACCAGCTGTGCAACTAACCCCCGTAACCCTTTTTGAGATCCACAGAGCTCTAGCATCATTGAAGGGTGGCAGGACAGTGGGGATCTGCACCATCACTACTGAAGCTGCTCAAGGCTCGTGGCCAGCGCAGCCTGGATTGGCTAAAATTTATCATTAACAGTGTCTGGGTGTCGGTACAGATCCCACGACTGGCGCCAAGGAATAATCCTGCCCTTTTTGAAGCACAAACGCGACCGTCTTCTCGTTGAAAATCACCGTGGCATCACGCTGCTCTCAGTGCCAGGAAAGCTATTTGCAAAGATCCTGCTGCAGTTATCTCTTAATGCTGTCAGTTCGAGGAGACGACAGGAACAAACCGGGATCATGCCAGGTCGCTCCACGATAGACCAGATCTTTTGTCTCCGCCAGCTGGTATAGAGAAGTGCAGAGAGTTCAGTCAAACGGTCTACCTTGCCTTTGTGGACTTCAAGGTCGCCTCTGATTAAGTCCAGCTGGCCATTGCTGAAAGCGTCCGGCGTTTGCCTACGTAGAGATCATGTACACTGACGGCGAGAGCAGAGTTCGAATTGGGGATGAGAAGTCTAATCGATTCCACCTGTCATCTGGAGTAAGACAAGGTTGTGTTGTAACCTCTTCAATTGAGTCATTGACCATCTGACTTGACGCCTCATTGATAGGGCAGGTCCCCTTGGTCTAATGCTTGATGGGTGGACCCTAAGGCCTTACGGACTTGCGCAATGCTGACGCCATGGCCCTCGAGTCCCCAACCAGACGCGATCTCACCAGAACATTGGAGATTCTGGATCTTGAGGCCAAAAAGGTCGGAATGAGGATGGCCAAAGACCAAGGTCATTTATGTGTGTCGCCATCCAACCGCCTTCCTCACGCCAAGGGCGGATCCAGGGGGGGGGGGGCCAAAGGGGGCCATGGCCCCCCCCCAAAACGAAACCAATTTTTTTTTTTTATGTGACGTCGCAATAAAGGCAGGCAATGAGTACACCACCATCTTTTCCTCAAAAAAACATTGCTTAAAGTGGTCAGAAATTGCCTCAGATCGCACCACAGAGCATCTAGAATCCAAAAAATTTTCGGGGCCCTTAAGCGGGCCCCGAACCCCACGCCGAAATTTTTTGGACCCACTTTTTGGGGGGACCAAATTATTTTTTGGCCCCCCCAAAAATTGTGTTCTGGATCCGCCCTTGCCTCACGCCCCCAATGCCCATGGAGAGTTGGTGTAGTTTGTGGCCTCCTTTGCCTACATGGGCTTCATTATGACATCTAACGGCTCTGCGGAGACACACATCTCTCTGCACTGATTGAGAAGGCAGCTGGCTATGAAATATCGGTCTTACAGTGTGGAATATGAGAAGCATCTCAAGGAAGACCAAAATGAAGATGTATAATGCCTTTAGTTGTTTCCGTACTGCTCCAAATAGCAGAGACATGGCACCGTATAACTGCAGCAGCCAAACGCCTTGACGTGTTTGATTTGAATGCTCTGAGCAGACGCGGTTCTGGGGGGTTGGGGCCTGGGGGAGGGGGGGGGGGGTTGCCCTCCCAAAATTAAGTGCACGTTTAAGAGACGGGGAGTTCCCATTAAAAAGTCGTTAGCATAAAAATGTAAATAACTTCAAAATTAATTCAATACATTTTAAAATAAAAATACACAATATTATTTAAACTATTCAGGAATTTCAAGATTCAAAATTTCAGCATTGTGTGCTTTTTAATTTAGAAATGGGAGCACATAACCTTTCAACTCGATTATCGCTAACAGTGTTTTTTTGCGTGCTTGGGCTGCTATTGTCTTTTTCCTTAGAACACGGTGATTCCATCTGTTATCTCGTAAAATCAGTCTTACCACTGCACTGTTAAACATGTAGGCTACCACATAGATTATAAAAAAAAGGAATCAAAATAAGGCATTTAAAAAAATGAGTTCAAATGTTGCTTTCTATACTTCGTTGCTTTCTTTATAAAGAGAGAACAAAGTCATCATAATTTGCAGTTCATTAACATTACAATCATTGATATGTAACTGCTCAGAAACCCAACCCATAAGTAGAGCAAACTGCCTTTTTAAAACCAATTTTAATAGACGTCTTTATTCCTCACATTACGCAGACAGTGAATGCTCAGAAGTATTTACCAGGCAGAAGAAATCCTGCAATATCTGCTCTTCTGATGTTCTTCAATGCTGTGCTCAACATGGTAATCTGCTCTTCAACACTGGTGGACTGGGCATGTTTCCATTTAACAAGCATTTTCAAACCTTGCCTTACTACGTCGTTTTGGTTCTCTTTCTCGATAGTCTCTACCTCAGTCACCGTAAAGTTCAGCTCCACTGCCAGTGTTTCCCATTCGCAACCAAGCTTCGTAGCAACCTCTTGTAGAATTTTATCAGTTAAGCATGGTTCTGAAAAAAAGAAGATAAAAATAGGCATACTAAGTAATATGAAGGATAATTTGCGCCCCATTAGGCCAAAAATATACTGTGTTTAAGTAACCCGAGCTACCAGGATAACCTACTGAGGCAAAATGAGGAATGTCCCCAAAACCTTGTGTTTAGTACCGGTAATCAACGTCTGAAGTCGGATATACTACAACAAATCATGTCAAAATCGAAATTTTGTTTTGAGTTTTTGAGTAGCCAAGGTATCCAACGTCACGATTTAGTAAAGCCGACTCCGATTGGCTGAGGCGCAAATCGCATAAATCTGCATGCTTTGACATTATCAGACGTTAAACAGGAGACTTGGCTCCGCTGATAACGGGTGATACTCAGACTAACGGTTCGGTAGCGGTGCAAGCAAATCACAGGTTGACAGGAGGGCGACTTTAGAGAAACTCCTAAAGTCAACTAAGTTAGCACTATGAAGACCAACAGGAACAGTCATAAAAGGTTACAAAAAAATGTTTTTCTACCTGCGTGTACATACATTAAAGTCCCTACCGCGATCAATTTGCAGGATGTTACGGTAAAAACACATTTATTCTTTTCTTTGGCCTTCTAACCAGACAGTCCAAAAACTAATCTGGTAAGACCTCAAAATGGTTTGTTACCCGAGTCAGTGCGTCGTGACACGTGGTGCATTATTCGTATAGTCAATTAGTATGACAGATTGGTGATGGGATTATCATATGACGATAAAAGGAAGGAATTTGGCACACAGTCACAGTATGTTATTAGAAAGATATTTGGCTATAGGGCCATCGCAGACTTGTCCTTTGAAAAAAATAGAGGTTGAATAACAAGCAATGGCAGCCATTTTGAGGAATCTGAAGCTTGCTTGTTATTCCACCTATATATTTTGAAGGTACAAATCTGTGATGGCCCTATAGCCAAATATCTTTCCATACTCGGACTATGTGCTAAATGACATGCCTTTATTATCAAAGTGAACAGTCCCCCAAAATATTTCCCCTACTTGCCCCACTGAATGAAAATAGCATACAGTACATGAATCCTTACAATGGATGCTCTTAATTTGGTTGTGACTAGTTTCTTCCTGATAGAGAGTTCGGGAACCAGACTGTACCCATGGGCATCGACAGAATTTTTTTCCCAGGGGTGGGGGTGGGGCAAAGCACTCCCCCCGAAATCCCTGCACTTTCCAGCATATTCTCGATTTATCATTTTATGAGGGAAATGTCCCCTCCCCCAACCCATTAGATAAACAGTAATATGACTTTGCGCCTCTTTTTCTTTCTTTTTTCCAAATTTCACTTTGGGGGAAAAATGAAAATATAAAATTCCCTCCACGATTTAAACCTGTTAGTCTATCATTCAGATCAGCGATTTAACGCACAAGCCACAGCGACACCTAGCTGACTATCGTGGAAAGAACTTATTCCGAATCAGGTGACATAATTTAGTTGTTCACGTGATAAGTTTCACGCATGCTCATTATGGTAATTGACTATACTTGGTTGCGTAATTTTTTTTACAAATCATTGCGGCCCAATTTCACATAGGCCTACAATTTCCAAAACACTGGAATTCAGTGAGTCACGACCGGAGGAATACATCTAAGACATTAGTGGAAAGTTTACACCCCTAAGTTATGAAAAAGTCACCACACTGGTCATTAATATTACGGGAATGGAAGGGGGATATCCCCATGGGGTTGTTCACAAAATGTTCCCACCTTTAATGACTCCTAACACCAATTCCCCTTATCCTATCCCCACGAATGTCGGTATATTTACGTTTTGGACAATGAACAATCCACATTAAAATTTTGCTTTAAATTTGAGTTGTGACATTAGGAAGACATTGAAATGTCTCTTTTATGTCCGGTGTGTCCCTGAGGTATAACGTATGACGAAAAATGTCTCCTTAAGGGCACATCAACATGCAATAAGTTCATATACAATAGTTAGTTATAATATTATCCCTTTGTTTGGGGTTAGACATGTTTTTGTTTCAATACACAAATATATATTACTATACTCTACCGTTTGTTAAAGGTTTATTAGTCTGGTTCCCAGCCCTGACAATTATTCTCAACGCTCTCTTCTAAGTAGTAGGTCAGGCAGCCTCCGTGGCTAAAAATATACATGACGACATTGATGTCTTTTTCTCATAGCTCGGCTTCGTTTCAGAATTCGCTTTATCGCTTATAGCTTTTAATGTTCCGATTAAATCTTCAAATAAATCACTTGCTTCAAAATACCATGCAGTTATGATAATACAGTTTGATATTTCTGTAAGAAAACATTGACTAATGTTGACCTGGAATCTTCAGTTAGGCACCCAAATAGCACTGTTATCTATATTTCGTAAGAAACGAGTAAAACGGAGTGCGTTGTGGGCATAGATACCCATTTAAGTTTCTACTTAAAGACCGTAGTCCAAGTAAATTATACTCTAGTACAACACATTTTACTGTATTTTAATTTTAACTTACATTTTAATAAAACAGGCTCTTTAGATTTATGAAATAGGCAGGGGAAAGTCGAACGAAATGCAACCATACGTACCTCCATATAACCTGCGAAGACCTGCCTCTTCTTGAGTGTCCATGCTGTGCTGTTTCGTTACTCAGATTTGAAAAACTGGAACCTTAAAGCATCAGCTGTGAAATAATGAATCAACATAATGATCTAAGCATTCTTTGTGTGTCCTTTAGGCAAACAGTTTTCCACAATTAGTTTTGAAGCTTCGACGACGAGTGCAGAACAATCAGCCCAAGTAAGACTAAATGCACTCATGTTTCATTAAACATACCGGTAATTTCTGAGGTCAGAGGTGAGATCCTCACTACTTCACAGGTTTGAAATCTTAATTAGAATACTGCAATAGTCGTGGGCCAAAACGGTACACAGAATGCACACACACAGTCGTGTTTCCTTTGAAACTCTTTGTTAATGCATTGACTAGATTGGTCTTGTCCCAGTCTATTTATCTTGATACGAATGTTGTCACTGTGCAGGGTGAGTAAAAAAAAGGATAAGGATTCCAAAAGTCACAACCATTTTCTAAGTGAAGTTCTGCATGTAGCACTTTCAAATCTAGGATATAAAAGCCCAATTAATAAGCTTTCTTTTTGCGTAAAAATCATTTAAATCAATTATGTCCTTTTTAAGTTACATAATTTTAAACAATAAGACCGTTTGTAACTTCTCTCCACGGTTCACAAAAAAGTAAGTGTGAATCTGGTGACATTGTGCCATAATTTCCGGATACAAAAAGAGCTGGATATAGGCAACGTATTCACTACTAATACCTACCTATACTTTGGTGTACCCGTAACTCGCTGCCATTGGATTATCACACCAACGAAAGGCGGGAAAATCTTGACTTGGCCCTTGGTTGCAATAGGAAAATAATCCTCAGTAAATTATGAATTTATTCATACTTTGGTCAAGATCGATGACATCCTACCGAATAACCAGCCATCTGTGAACTGCGTCACACAGACGGTGGCAGGGTGACCGTAAGGTCAGAGCCAAATTCTGCTAAATGCACCTCAAAAATCTGCCAAATTCCCCAGAATTACTCGAAATACACTTAAAATCACATGCATATCGGTAGTACTGCCTTAATTAAGGTTCAAATTACATAATAAACATTCCAGTCACATAAAGATGCTGTGAAATTAATGGTAAATTTCGGGCAAAACGCGGATCCGGCCGCGTGACGACAAAGTCCGTTTCCCAATGAACCTCAGCACCTAGACCAGCCAACCTGTCACATTATGCAAGGGTTTGTTTGAAAGGAGTGAAGCTTTTTTTTTTAAACAAATGTACACTTTTTTGTTCAAATTTTGCTGTTTTTCTGTCAAAATAACCATTTTGCAGAATTCTGCCAAAAAAATCCATTCTGTCAAATTTTCTGTCAAACTCGTTTGTTAACAAAAATTCTGTCAAAGTTAGCCGAAAATCGGCTAAAACGGTCACCATGGACGGTGGCGTGATCAAGCTATGATCACATGACCCAGCAGACCAGACAAAACCATTATTGGACTGGGATCTATTTGATGTGAAGTACATACATTGTGTATCGGTTTCAATAATTCCCCAGAGCAGTGATCATGTGAGGTCGCTTATAGTTTGCTTCATATACATGTCGCTTATTCATGATGCACTGTTACTGAGACAAAACATCAGGCGATGATTGTAATTATGCATATTTAAAAAAAATATTACCTAAACCTTGGTATTGTCTGTATATTATTTGTTTTAGCTTTGCATTTTTTTCAAAAAGTAATGATAGCTATTGAAAAGAGTTGTTTATATAGGACATGCACGTGACGTTCCTGCAGTGGGCGTCGTAATCAAAGTTCAACATAATCAAGTTAATAAATCACAGATTCACATTCTGCATTCGATTTCAGGGATGTGATTGGACACTAAAAATGAAAAATCCACGAACTTCAGTTGACATGTATACATGTACATGTATTATTGTACATGTACATGTATAATTGTACATTTACTTGTACGGATGTACATGTATACATGTACATGCACGTATGTCCGTATATGGGGCATGTACATATTATGTACCGTATTTCTGAAATGTTTGCATATTTGGTCGCTTCAGTAAAGAAAACAAATGGGGGAAAAATGAGGAAAAAATGTCTGGTCATTTACCAATGGTCAAAACTTTCTTCCTCACCTCCTGGCCTACTGTGTACAAACCAATGGGGGTCTTGACCAATATTGACCCAATTAATAACCATGCTGACAATGCATGTTTCCATATCCATACGTGATTGATTCAATAACGTCTTTGTCGGTGTGTGATGTTAATACTTTCGCATGTTTGCAGAGAGAAAGAAACGATTCACACAAAATATATTAACGGTGCTTAAAAGTTACTAATTTTTACTAATCTTACTCCCACAGGCTTCCAAAACATTTTTGAAATTTTGTGTTGGTGGTGGCTATTTTTCAAAGCACTACTGCAGCTCAAACTGATTTCCATCCACAGTGACACTTTATTACTAGTTCTTCCAACCATACTCTTAAATTCCTTGACAAAATCTCGCTTTGTTGATGGGTCTCATCGCGGCAATATTGACATGTGTTTGCAAATTGCTACAGCTAGCTCACGATCGTCACTGCACAGTACATGCACAATACACACACATCCACACGCAATATACAAACACGAGTGCAAATGGTGCAACCCACTGAATTTTTTTCTTAGTCTGGTCCTCAAGTACTCCACTCTGCACACTGCATTGATGTCTATCAGGTTCTTGACCGCACTGCCTTAAACTTGTGTCACCAGTCCATCCATTATCGTAAATTTGGGCCTATATTTCGCCAGAAGTTTTCATGCGATATTACGGAAACAGAAAACGTTGGAAAACCGGAATCTGCATAAAATTCCGCAGACATTAGACTAAAATCCGGAAATCCGGAAAAATCCGGACAAATCACACCCCTGCGATTTACAAACAAACATACAGACTAACTTACAGCTTATTGTGCAGTCATTCTGATAACTGATGACCCATGAACTTTAATTACTTTAGGTCCATTAAATAGAACACAGAACTATAGTTCTGTACTTGTAAGAGGTAACTCATTATGAACCAAACAAAAGTTAAAAATATTGAATAAGGAAATAGGTCGGTAGGGTTCCATATATTGACACGTATTACTTGAAGTGCTATAAAGTCAAAATAATTGTAATAAAAAGAATACAAAAATGTGTGAGATTTGGTCCTGTAACTATTTACGACAAACAATGTTATTTGGAAAAAGTGTTACAAAGCAACAAAGTAACTGAATGGTTTTGTAAAGTTTTGTATAACAGTGTATTTATCGTATTGTTAATAATAATTTTAGGTTATCACGATATAGTTCGAATTTTTCCAATACGTAAATACAGTCTAATGTCTAATTGGCTTCCAAAGTACAACCATTTTCATATCAAAGGGGGAAGTAGTATATTTAATAATATTGGGATGAATATAATGTGTAGCGATGACGTAGAAAGCAGTCTTATTATTGTTGTAAGGTTGATATTTTACCGTACAGACTATAACATTTTTAATGAGTATAAGAAAGTGCGAAGAATGATAACTTCAAAAAAATCTTTTCATTTTTACAAAATATAGAAGATAGAAACCAAGTAGAAAAAGGGCGCGGGTCATTAAAAGCGAATGCAATCTGTAACAAACGTGAATCAAAATTAACGACAAAAGCGAATCATAACACTTCAAACAATTAAAGGGCCCATACAGTTTTTAGAATGCTATCCTTAAAAATGCACCTTTGTGTCCCATGAAATCTCATTTCAATTTTTGTTTTGCCATTTTTCAGGGTATTTTGGTGCCATTTTGGCTTTTATGCTAATGCAAATTTCCACATTTATGAGCAAAAGTGTGATGTCATTCCGGGCGAGAACCTCGATGTTACAGCTATTTCAGCAAAACAAGTTGAAAAAGATATTTTTCTGTCATACCTTTCTTTTCTTTGGTGATTCGTTGATGTGTGAGTACATGGAGCTAGCCATTCTCAAAATTCTTTTAATGGGCAAATGTTTGGTTAACAATTTAACCAGAAAACCCCTTATCTGAACAGTATCTTCCTGAAATGACATCCTCTAGCAATATCGCCCTTAGTTGTCCAAAATCGTATATTATTGTATATGTTTAAACAAGTGTTCTTTTTAATACATTTAAAAGGGTCAAATAGTTTTTAAACATGTAAGAGGAGTAGAAAGTTGAACAAAATGTGTTCCTAAAAAAATAATCGCAGGAACCCTATGAAAAACACATGAAATGGAATAAAAAGAATTCACACAATTTAAAACTTGTGATTACATTTATGTTAAAGCAAGTTTCGTTACTAGTGGAGTTGTTTGAACATTTTAAGCATGCACTTTAACTTGGAAATTGGAAATGTACAAGGCACTGCCATTTAACATGACGTCACGTGTCAAAACACACATTTACTAGGTGGTCTTTGTCTGCGCCATGTTTAGAGTCGATCTGTTAACAACCATTGTTATTTTGAGCAGAAAAAATCGTAACAGTACATAAATTCATAATAAACATCCACCGATGACGTCATCGTGACATCATTGCAGATTCGGGATATTGTTAACATTGTGGAACCTCCCACCGCGTTTTGTGACGACTGAACCTTACCTTATGCTTTTTGAAAACCGGCATTTTGATGACGTTATCAACACGTTTGTCACCTTTTGGGCATATATCTATGACAACCATCCACCCATTTAGCATTTTGTGATGATTTGTGAGATATGGCGATAATCTTCAAAAATAAAAAATCTACATAAAATCACATTATAACGTAACCATGACGACATGTAAATTTCCACATATAGCACGACCCTGTCTATGAACTTGCAAAGTCTGAACCCAATCGGCCTCTTAGCTCTCTATTGAAAAGGCAACTTTATGATGACGTGACGTGACACTTGATGACGTCACCATGACGTCACTTGTCGAGACATTACTTTGTTAAGTTTCATTGGTATATCACTAAGAACGACTTATAATGCAATAATCACACCGTTCCATGGATTGTTCCAGCTTTGCAGCACGTCACACATCTTTTAGTTGACTTCACAGCTCATCCGTTGACTGTTTTCATTGGCCGTTTGACTCTGGGAAAACAATAACACACTGATACAATTTGGCAATTGTCTAAACGCCTTGTTAATATTATAAACAGCAACTCGAATGGAAGCTTCCGGATACGTATTTTTGGTAAACTTGATACAAACCTGAGGTGGGTATATTTAATAGGTTACCAAAAGTTTTCATTTTACGTTGAATACTACTACATGCAAGGGCGGATCCGGGGGGGGGGGGGGGGAGCCAAAGGGGGCCATGCCCCCCCAAAAAACGAAACCAATTTTTGTTTTGTTTTATGTGACATCGCAATAAAGGCAGGCAATGAGTACACCACCATCTTTTCCTCAAAAAAAAACAGTGGTTAAAGTGGTCAGAAATCGCCTCAGATCGCACCACAGAGCATCTAGAATCCAAAATTTGTTCGGGGCCCTTAAGCGGGCCCCGAACCCCACGCCGTAATTTTTTTTACCCACTTTTTTTGGGGACCAAACTTTTTTTGCCCCCCCCAAAAAAATTGTGTTCTGGATCCGCCCTTGACTACATGTTGCTGGAGTGCCAGACTCGGACCCTTAATCAGGGGCTACTAACTAGCAAACCTATTCATGCAGTGCATGCATTTTCATATAAGTTGCATTTGATTCAGTATTCATTCTACTCCTTTAAATTAAACGTCATCTCGGGCCCTTTACTCTAACACTCCTCGGTGAAAATTAGAAACATATCCTTGGTATTGAATTATTTGCTATTTGACAACGGTGCACTGTCAGAATAGAGGCGAGATTACAGATCTCCCTCTCCACACTGCTTTACCCCCTCTTTTCCAAAACTAGCGCAACAAATGGACCTGTCACTGATAATAGGTCTATGGCATGGTTTGAGGGTGGATAGTCGATGTTAGCTTCAGTTTGTCAACTTGAAATAACGAAAAGACTACCGACCATTCACACGAATTATGCAGCAGTGTATTTATTTTACTATACCTCATACATATGCCCCACAATTTCAGTGAGGTTCGCATCAGGTATCTCGGCAAAACGATGCCGTTCGTGTCCGCCATCTAAATACATGTACCTCTGTGTGCGCCTTGTATGCAGCAGCAAAAAAAATTAGCTGACACGTGGTCGTGAAATTAACAGGTACGAGGTACGGTATATACTATTTGCTCAACTTTGCTGGGGAGCCATCATAAGTACAAACAATGAGGTTTGTGGTTTAATAGAAAAACAAATAAAACAATCTTACCTTTTCTTTGGTAGAGATCCTTCAGTAAATTCTCAACCCCTGGATTGGGGCAGACGTCCAGAACATTGCTGCCTGTTTTATTCTTGATGTAGATATCGGCGCCATGTTTAATAAGGTTGACCGTAATGGCAACCAGGTTGTATTTTTTGGCGGATGAAACGCCTTTGTCTCCGAGCTGCTGGACGAGCACCAACAACTACAAATAAACATGAAAAGTAAGTTTGGATGGGTGTTTGGGAGTAGGTAAACTGTAAACTACATACATATTTATGTGCTAAGCTTACGGGCACATCAGACAGGGCTCTGGAGTGCTCTAAAACGTGCAAAACTACACTCTAAAAACTGTGTTTAGCAATTAAACACAATTTTGCTATCACTTTGTAAACATGTTTAGACGCTAAACATTACGTGTTCAATTTCTAAACATTAATGTTCAATGGCTAAACACTATCCATCCTTACTCTAAACATGTTTAGTATTTAAACATGTTTACAAACTGATAGCAAGAAAGTGTTTAGAAAAGTGTTTAATTGCTAAACACAGTTTTTACAGTGTAAATCAGGCCAACTTTACTCACTCTTTAGCCAGCAAATTTCTCCAAAGAAATCTACTGGGCAAAGAAACGGTTCTCAGTATTTCACCAACCAATTTTGCAGACTCGACTCATTTTTTAAAAGAGACTGTTCTTCAATATTTTGCACATGAGAGGGTTTCAAGTGATTTCAAAATGAGGCTAAAGACTTGACTGGTACATGTCCAACCATGGTCCAACTATTTGAAAAGACTGACCTCTTCATTCAGTGTCATTAGTCTGGTGGCTGACTATGGAGACATGTGTAGTAAATTGAGACTAGTTCCCGGTTCATGCCACATGTTTCTTCAATTTGTTTGGCATGGTTGATTGATGCAGTACTGAAGCGGTGTTGGACTGTGTGTTTCAGGTGCCAGTCTATTTTCTTGTATTGCATGTTTTCAATGCCTTCAGTTTGGGACTGTCGTATAGTATTGAAAGTCCCAAATTTCGGACCAGGGGCACATGTGGTGTGATTTTGCAAAAGGAACATGTCTCCTAAATCTAATCATGCATGAGGAGACAGCTTTTGAGCAACCACTACAGTCAAATGGTGTTGCTGAAAAACAATGCAAACAAAGCACTATATTGCCAATCTCTACCACTTATAAATGCCATTAGATTAATTGCCACTTGAAGTTTTCGACACTAGATGGTCCTTTGTAAAGGCACAAGGCTGAGCTCAGAATCACGATATCAATGGAAACTGATTGCTGTGTGTTGCCACCAAGCATGCAGACGTGTTTAGTTCAATACCTTTTCCAGTGGTGTGACTCGCATGATGTCTTTGATGGAGGCTTTCATGACAAGATGGAGACTTGTATCACCATCGCTATTCTGGGCGTTCACGTTGGCACCGCTGTTGACCAGAGCCTCGATACACTTCTTGTGGGCATTGTCAACGGCCAGGTGCAATGCCGTCTGTCCACTGTTAGTTTTTAGTTCCTTATTGCAGCCATGCTTAGAGAAAAAATTGAAGATTTTTACAGAGATAAGGTACAAGATATTTCGCAAATCTCGGAGTGGTATACTAAAACATTTTGTTTTGTAAACCAATGCACATGGTGTTTTGTAAAACATTGGTATATGTCTAAATTAATCCCGCTCATGTCTCCTTTTTGGTGGGTAACTGAAATCAATGACCTCACCTGTTTGACGAGGAGCAAAGTGATGACCGATAGACCGTTCTGGGCTGCGATGTGTAGTGCCGTGAAGCCGTCGCCTGTGACATCATTGATCATGTTTGGCAAGGCTTCCAGAATCCCTACCACGGCACTGGAAAAACAAAAGGCATTTGTCAGATTGTCTACCACTTTTAAGACAATCAACCACAAAAGACGACGAAACTAGCCGGACAAGAGTTCGCACGTTATCCGCAGGAAAAAGCACAACGATATAGGCCCAGTGTCGATCTCCTGCGTCTTGCCACTTAACCAACCGCGTCGGATTGCTGGATCGAGTAAGATTCAGTGGTGATGCTAACGAAGTTCTCATAGTGCCATAGTACGCAGGAGGTCGTGTATTTGTGTCCCACCCCAGTAAACTTCTGAAATTTTGTTTTACTCGCATACCCTCGGACAACTGAGCTCATGGATAAAGTGTTTGTAAAATTGTCAGTGAAGGACAATAGCCCATTATTAAACCGATAAATAAACAAAACACGCTTGACAGTGCTGACGTTATCATTCATCATTGTTACACAACCAAAATTTATCAATTCATGTCTTTTATTCATTAATCATAAATCAACAACAACCAAAAGACATGGAGGAAACCTAGAACATCATGAACATGAAAGACGAATCAAAAGAAACAGTCTAAATGTCAATGTAGCAAGGAACTAAACATTAATGTGAAAGCAAAAAAAAATAAAAAAAAATAAAAAAAAATAAGAAAAGCAAATTTGAGGACCTACAAAGCGTTTCCGCAGAGTGCGGCATGATGCAAACTGTTGAATCCCTTCTTGTTCATCTGACGGAGGTCAGTTTCTGGGTTGGTTATCAGCCAACGGATGATCTGCTTCCTGTTCTTGGTAATGGCAAGGAGTAGTGGACTGTTGCTATCCTTGTCCTATTAAATGCAATGCAAGAAAACCAAATATATTACCACTATTGGAGGTATTTCTTGTTTTTCTTTGTATCTTGCTGCCTGTGAGTTATTTTGATAATGATGCATGCTTGTAGGGCCGTATCATAAGTCCTACGCCTCATAGGTCCGACGCCTCATAACTCCGAAATTTCGGACTTATGAGGCGTCGGACTTATGAAGCATTATTCCGCCTCACAGGTCCGACGCCTCATAAGTCCGACGCCTCATAAGTCCCACAATGGACAAACGCTGTTCGGACTGGTTTTGGAGCTATGAGGCGTTGGACTTATGCGGCGTCGGACCTATGAGGCGGAATAAATAAATGTTATGCCTCATAAGTCCGACGCCTCATAATCCGTCGCCTCATAAGTCCGAATTTTTTTTCCCCGACGAAAATAGAAGATACTATTCATTTAATGACAGCAATATGTGTTGTTTTCTCAGCATGTATGGCCTCTCAAACGTTAAGCTTTGATCTGCATGAGTGTGGTATACTGCAGATAATATGAAACGGGCAACAAGGCTTTGTCTCATAGAAATGGTCCTTGTCTCATAGAAATGGATAAACCTTGGGGTAAAATGCCCTCTAAAAATAAATGAATATGTCACCTCAAAGTATGAATCTAAACAGCCTCCAACAACTAACTTTATAGTTGACGTCGCATTTTTGCTGGTCGTGTGTGAGCAGCACATCTGCACATGTCTGATGGCCCTTGACAATGGACTGGTGGAGAGGGGTGAAATCCTTGTTGTTCGCCGCGTTTATATCGCTTCCAGCTTGCAGAAGACATTTGACAATCTCTGGCTTATCACTGTCAGGAAAAAAACGTGAGGCTACAGCATTGAGAATAAATGCCAGAATTTATACTACGAGGGATATCCCTGACCATCCACACTGAGCATACAAGTTTGTTATTGGCACCTTTCGGCAAATAACCTGAGCGGTTTCTAGAATACTAATATGTAATCTGATTTATGTGTTAACTATTTCGTTTACTCGGGATAACCCCATAAAGGTAACGTACAACCGACTGGTGGTGTGCATGTTCTAACATCCGGGGCGACAATAGGCGGGACTGGAAAGCATCCATCGTCCATATCTTTTGCCGACAGTCACACGATTGTTTGTTGACAACCAAAAATACACCCCTCTAGCGACGCACCTGGGTATAGACCCTTTTCTGAGCCACTTGGCTGGTATGTATCTGAGCTTCTGACTGACACATTATTTCTGATCGATTAAGCCACTCCATCCACACAACTGTTGGATCTCACTTCTGACACTTCAAAGTAAAAGCAAGTTCATGGGGTAACTCACCCGAGCACTGCATAGGCAAGTGCCGTGTCTCCGTCCACATCTTTATGGTCCAATGGTGCTTTGCCTCTCAACAAAGCTGTGACCGCATCCATGTGACCGTGATGGACGGCTGCCTGAAGCGGTGTCTGCTTTTCTATATTCTGAAATTTGACCTGTTAAAGAAACAACAAGTATTTCTTAAATTCGCTTGTATATTTTTTCATCTACAAAGGCATACATTGCGGTAAATGAAACCGAAGGGTTGGAACCCAGCTGCTGGCCACACATGTCCATTGGCAAGCCATCATCTCACCCTCTCTCTACATTTTGGTATACCTGCATTATATAGGGAGTAACCTGAGATAAACTGAGGAAAACCCGGAAGGATATTCCAAGGAAAACTTACGGAATCAGGGAAGGACTGAAAACCCAAATCAATGTGTGGACCAGGACAGGAATCAAACCCTGGCCCCAGATGTCGGGAAGACAAGGAATTTTCCACTACACCAACCTGACTCCTTACATGTAAGGCCCAAAAAAGGTCTTCGGTGTCTGGTATGGAGCTTGCTCTAACAGTGGTGAGGCGACGCGCCTTTTTTTATTTTTTGTTTCCTTCAACTGTCGGCTGATGACTGCAAATGGTGCCCGACTAAATTTAGTGCAAAATGTTTTGGAGCCCAGAGAGGCCACACAAGGCTTACACTCAATCGTAATCCCATCTACAAACACATTAAAATTGTACAGCAGCAAGATTCCAGTCAAACCAGTGAGTTTGGCGGTTTTGAGACATCATCTTACATTGATTTGTTTTTTTAAATTTTGCCGACGCGCATGGCTACGGAGACGCGCGCGCATACCAGAAACCGGAAACTGTTTTTTGGCCTAACCCAACCTTCAGATTTTCTTCTCACCGCCTCTGGGTGATCATTGATAATCTCCAGCACTTTAGTGGTGTTGCCGGCAACTGCCGCCTGGAAAAGGGCAGCGCCGCTATCCGCGGAACCGCCAGGCCGGTCCCCGAGTTTCTCAAGCAGAGCCTTCAGTTGTAGAGTAGTCATCATTTCACCTACATTGGGAAGTATTTGAAACAGGGAAGTATTTGAATCGCACCATCATTTTAATAGTAGGTCATTAAAATAAGGATTTACAGTAGCACCATGTGACAAACCTCTTGGTGAGTTTGTGAGGTTCTGCTGACGGGCAGAGCATGCTGTTCCTCGTTCTTTTCAGAACCTCCCAAACTCAAAGAGATTTGTCGCATGGTACGGTGCTACCGTAAATCTTTATTTTAATGATGATGCCATTGTCATCCTCACCTTGTGAATCTGCCAAAGATTAATGATGAAAATTATGTGCTGCAGATCCAGAAAACTTTATTTGTGTTGTACAACTTCTTGTTACAGTTCTGGTAGTCGTATGTCAGGCTCAGGTACAGGCACAGATTGACGTTTAATAAACCTTGGCCAGATTAATGCATTAGGCGAAGAATTACACAAGTTGCAAACTCTATTGAGCTGAAGCCATGTTGCTTTGGAATGCTTAGTTACCGTCTTCCTAGTACAACGGCCTCCCTAGGCAAAAAGAAGAAATCTTAGTTTGGCCGCTTCACCATGCAAATCGTCAAATCTTAATATTACCTCGCCATGTCTTAACTTCAAACCCCTATTTGTTGTTTTTACGGTTTCAATAAAGCCCGGGAGATACTTTGACATTACAGTCAATGTGACGGCAAATTTTGGCATGCAGCAGGGCAAAGGCTAAATTGGTCAAAATGCACTATTTCTAGTATCGTCAGTGATCACGCTTTAGCCAACCTGCAGGATAATGAACAAATGTTTGGTTGTAGTCAGGATTATTAACTAGGCCTAAAATCCGAATATAATCGAAAACAGTGAATATAATCGAAGGCTAAAACGGTCGACGCATGTTTTAATGAATACCCATATAAATATGGATTAATGAATACCCTCCTTTCCATAAACCTCCAGCACCTGTGATTGGTCTTTTAGCCTCCTCTTTCTTCTCCATGACGAGACACAGGGGATGAATGAAATACGACGATCCGCCAAAGTTGACCTTGACATCGCCATCTTTGTCCACCATGACGACTTCGCCGACCTTTCCCATGAACTGAGATATAGAGAAAATGAACAAAATACGAAACATCTTTTGATATCCTTTGTCCTCGAGATCCATTTTTTCACGTGAATATTATATTTTAACTACCAAGGGTGTATACGCTAACATTCAGATTAATCAACCGTACCTATAGGCTCCGTGCGCCAACAAAAGAGGGCGCTTATTTGCCTTTTTTGAGAGCTCCGTGGACGGACGGACACACAGCGTGCGCGTACTGTACCATACTGAGGTGTACTCGTGCACGCAGCCCGTAGTCCTAACCACAGACGTACCGGTATGTCCGTGGGCCTACTCAGCCATGAAATTAAAACCTGATATCTGTCTTACATCTGTGATTTCTTCGTTCCAGCCACACCTCTGTAGGTGCAGTTCCTTGAGCTTCAAATGGTCCATGTCCAGCAAACGGACCTTGTCTCCGGTGTCCAGGTAAGAGTGGGCTTTGGTCTCATCTATGTCGATGCAAAGATCAAAGATTCAGGCAGGTACTTGTCATGTTTGTATACTGTATTTATTAAAGTAGATGTTACACGACGCTTAACCCGAGAACTCGCTGCATTGACTCGATTCAGAAGTGATACGTCGGTCAGGAACTTAAATGTAAAGTTTTAAGAGAGACAATATGGACATTATACCACAAAATTGCAATTAACGCTTAAGGGGGGACCGGGCATAGCAGGCATGGACAACTCGGTGAAACAAGTGTTTGTATACTATCGTTTCGGTTTGCGGTAACACCATGTGGTAATAACTACTGTCGCTCAGTAGCTGTTTAGTTCTGATAAGAACTTGTCCAGTTTATTATCAACTTTCGCTAAGTTTGTCTTATTAGTTCTGGTAAGAACAGTCCTGCTTATTTGTAAAAGTACTGTCTCAACGTTTCGACTAGCCTGCTCTACTCATCGTCAGTGTGACGATGATTAGAGCAGGCTATATTCTGTCATCGTCAGTCTGACGATGACAAGAGCAGGCTAGTCGAAACGTTGAGACCAAAGACAAGTTCTATTAGAACTAAGCAGGACTGTTCTTAGAACTAAAAACAACTTAGCAAAAGTTGACAATAAGTAGGACAAGTTCTTATCAGAACTAAACATCTACTGAGCGACAGTAGTTATTACCACATGGTGTTTATATCGCAAACCGAAACGATACATGCAAAGCTTAAACGTTTCTGTATCGCATTCAATCCTGATTGGCTAAAAGCTTTAGGAAAAAACGAACAATGTTATGCGTATATTGGCCGAAACGTTCTTAGGATATGGTTACGCATACGATAAGATTTGCACCATTGGGAAACCGACCTGATAACAGAACTATTTGAACACTTACCGAGCCTCGGGAGGTGCTCAATGTAGAAATCTCCCATAGTTTCTCTCTCCGTGTATTGCACGTCGACTTTGCCTTTGTGGCCCCGTCGGTATTGGCTGGCAGAACCGTTGGGCCACCGAACGGAGACCCAGGAACGATAAGTTCCCTCCGCGCTACACACTTGGCTCACAGTACCAACTTTGCCGTCCCCACCTGATTTACCGTAAGAAATCGACGATCAGGAAAAACGACGCCATAATAGAGTTGTAGGGTTACAACTGTTTAATTTCACCTTTTGGAGACCTGTTATCGTAATTGTTTTCGAACGTCAGGAGATGCCGGACATCAGGCGAAATTTTGGTGTCACAATTAGGTTATATTTCTTGCTCTTAGTCTTATTAGTAAGAATACCAAAATTCGTGGAAAAATGATAAGGGTTAGGGCACATTTAAGTTGGAAAAATCCCCCTAAGGTACCATTCTCCGTAAATTTTAATGTTCAGTATATGTTGCCCTGATTTAGGAGTATATAGCTTTATATTGTTTTCAAAAATATATAAATATACAACAATAAGCACAAACATGTGCACCATCTTTTGCGTTTACATGGAGATTAACAGAGGATTATCTGAACTCCTTATTTTCCTTTATATCCCCATACCATCTTGATCTTCCCATTCCCAATCGGGTCCTCGCACCACTCGGGCTCCCACACAAATGCCGATAGACCGGCATTTGACGGCACCAGATCGACAGGGAACTTCAAACCTGAAACAAATATTTAAACATGTTTTAAACATGTTAGTATTGTGTCTGATTTTAACACAACACAAAGAATATTGTATGCATACTGCGCAATACAATGTACCTCATTTGTATATCAATATACCTGATTACAATAACAATGGATCTCATGTAAACAACAATAAAGTGCATTTACGTATCAACAAGCCATGACGTCAAGGCACGTAATGCACCTGAGATGGCGTCTAAAACAAAAGGAGTAATAGGATAGCTTGTAAATCAAAGGGAAATGACGTATGAAACAATGTGGGACCGAAAATGTCAAACGTTTGAAAATATTTTTTCAAGTAAACAAAACAAAAATGACTAAGGGCATTATTTGTATTTATTCAAGCAGTGCGTTAACATTGTATTAAAAAATGGAGGCAACACCGACTGAGCGTCAACTAAGCCAACTCGCGGATAATCTTAAAGAATGTGTTTACTCGACAGCTGAAGTGGGAAGTCAACGATCGTGGGAAAAGTTGGTGATTTATTTCGGTCTTTCAAAAGCCGAAATTTATTGAAACCATTTTTGGCTTCAGCCAAAAAGTCACTTTGGGTAGCCAACACAGTCAGTACAAGTTTCACTGACATTCAGCCATGCAAGACAAGGATAAAGGCCTTTCTTTTTGACTATCTATAGGAACACTACCAACACAATGTTTCCTAATATTTGTAAGTGCAGAAATGTTGTAAAATACGGACAAAAATGCACAAGGAAGAACCTGAATACAGGGCGCCAAGATCTCCAGATCTTATCCTCCTTTAACTTTTTCTTTGGGGTACCTCAAGGACCGGGTGGTACCGCATTGTGCCAAACACCCTTTAGGGACTACGCCAGACACTTCCAGCGCATTTCTACAACACCTTTCTAAAACTTACCCCGGAACTGAGTTGGTTTCGATCCTCGTGAAGCGATGACCCGGGTCATGCTTTCCCTCGTTATAGCAGCGATGACACAAATCGAAGTCATGACACCCCAGACACTTCCAACGCATTCCTACGATACCTTTCTCGGGACAGCAGTCACAGTTGACATTCGGATGCTTGACTCCTATTCCAAGATTGAATCATTAATAAATTGCACTCTTACTTTTTTCAAAGAGCGAAAATTCACTCTTGATCCTAGATGAATGACAAATTAACATTGAAACCGATGTTGTTCGTGCTAAGCAATTGTAATAAATGTAGGACATTTTCTTTCTGTTATCCCCTCAACAAAAGACAGCATTGTGGCCGTCGGCTTCAGTACCGGGTACAAAACAATTTAAATTGAAATCCATTCATTTGAACAAAATCGTGTTATACGATTAAGTTTCGACTTCATTCCGCAAAGTCTTTTAAAAAAGATTAGAGCGATTTGACTCTAATTCGTCTATTCCTACAAATTCACTCTTTGGAAAATAGAGAGCATCAATGCTTTCATGATATAGTTCAGAGGAGAAGTAGCATAGTATACTTAAAATCACTTTTTTTCACTTAACATCATGTTTTGCCCGAACGTAATGGACATTTTCATTAGCATTACAAAAACTTTAAAAAAAAATCTACATTTTTAGATCACTTACAAATCCGGGATTTCTAAAGGGGTTTGTTGAGATGTTGAAATCGCAGGTATATTTTTTTCAGAGGAGGGGGTATGGTGCCGGTGAGGCGTTAAATAAATAAACTGCAGCATCAGTAACCCTAAAGAGTTTAAATAATGAATGAAAATAAAGGCCACAAAGACGCATTTTATTGAAAGCAAGTAGAGGATTCCAAAATTTCATGACAATGAAAATTGATTGCAAGTTTTTTTAGAACAGAATCTCCGCTTACGTAATTGGGCAATTAAATGAATGAAAATATAGGCCACAAAGACGCATTTCATTGAAAGCAACTAGAGGATTCCAACATTTCATGACGGAAAATTCACTGCGGGTTTTGTTAGAACAGAATCTCCGCTTACGTAATTGGGCGTTATCGTAAATCCGCAAATCGTACTTGCCGCTGGCTCCACCGGCGCGGTAGTGTGCGATTACTCCCGAATCCCATCGCACAAAGACACCCGTCACTGAAAACAAGATTATACACGTTTGTGCAAGGTGTAAATCGAGGATATTCTATTGTTCCTCTTCCCTTTATCTTTGTTTATAATCTTTAATCTTTTATCAGCTCTAATTGGTTTTGTAGACGTTTTCTAACCGAGGAGTCCTGATCCTAAATCGCTTTAAATTTGATACCTGATGACGTTATGATAACGTCACAGTTTTTTCTCATCTTCGGACCAGGGTTCAATTTCGTACCAGGTTTTATCATCCCGCGATCCGTTTGGAGGAAATAGGTTTCGTTTGATTTTGAAACTTCTGTCTCTATTTTATATTAACCTGACTTCGACCTCTGGTACCAAGAAGTCAAGGTCAAGCAACTTCACGTACAAAACATGTTATCCATCATGGTCTATCTGATTAAAAAATAATGAATATAACTGATTGTAATTTGATACCTGATGGCGTCTCATGACATTACGATGATGTTTAAAGTATGAAGTTAATACCCCTAACTGTTTTTAAGGAAAGTAGCGGAGAATTATTGTCCGGAAAAAAGAAAGGCGGAGAGACAGAAGGAAAGAAACTTTTCTCAGGAACAATGCGACTTTACGTTAGTTCCCTTTTAATTAGACCTTTAAACAAGGATAAGTAAACAATCCAAAACATAAAATGTGTAGGGAATTCAGGGCATAATGCCCCTTTAATATGTAATAATTAACTTACAATGTTCGTATTGTTTGCGGGCCATACTAATTAAGTTCGCACAGCTTAGACTGGTTCCTACCTCCATTTAAGAATCGATTATGAGTGGGAACTGGGAGACCAGAACCAGTCTGCTCTTAGGGCGGATCTGTTCGTGCGGAAAACAACCCCCAAAACAAGCCTTCTTGATGAGATATTTTGTTACACTTAAAAATGTAAGAAAAAAGAGGGGTTTAATATAAATCGCTAAAAGCAAAAAAAAAAAAAAAGACCTCCAAAACCACTAAGTTGTTGAAGGTCTTTATGACCCCTCAAATGTCTGGTGAGAGTAACATTCTGTGGTCAATTTGTAGGGCATGTGTGATTCATAATACGTACCGCTGTCCTTAGCTTGTGCAGGCACCACGGTGCCTACGCAGCCTTTTCCCCCGTCCTGGTCGCCCCATTCCCAGTCCGGGCCTCGTACAACTCGCACTCCTGTGAACATGACGGATTCCGCTTTGAGTAGTGCCCTTACTACGTTCACCAAACAGCCAGACTGCCTATTGAATAATACCTCGATCCAAGTCTTCCGGAATAGTTTGCTTCTTTATACAGACTGCCTATTAAATAATTTTCTGTCGATGGAAGCTACGGTCGACCCAGCCCTGGCAAAATGAGCTGAATGTTTGGAATATAATTAGACTACGTACACGCGTGATGGACTTTGCAGTTTGCTCCTAAACACAACGCATAATTTACAACCAACTGAACATTGTTTCGATGAATTCGCTCGTCCCGATGTCCTATCATAAGGTTATGGCGTTCTCTAGCTCTCATTGGATGGTCTTTGAACCTGGTGTCAAGAAAACACTTCCGCTTGTGCACAACACTGGCGCATGGATTGAACATGTACATGTACAGTATATTGATCACGGAGGTTAGCTACCAAACAATTGCATTGCGAAAGCGTGGGTAAAGTCAACCAGCGGAAACCGTGCCGAGCCACCGTACTACAGAGCTGGGTACGAGTGAGCAAGGGGAATTCCCTGACGCGTCGGGGCGGTCAGCGATTTTTTTATTTACACAATAGTACAGGGTGACAATTTTTTAGGCGACTTGAATCAAGGTTATAGGATTGTTGAGCGCCGCGTAGCGGCGCCCTGCAATCCTGTAACCTTTTACCTACGCGCGCGCGCGTATACTCTCTCCACGTGTGTGAAAGTATATACATTTAATTTATGAATTGCAAGGGTTGGTCGAGCACCGCCGTGGATTAGTAGTTGTTATATAACTGACATACAGATCCTAGTCATTTGATTGGTGGAACTCCCATCACATGACATTCGTTATTGCTCCCATTCACGCCGCGGCTCAAAAAGTACTATCCGCCCATGGGGAATGGGAAATACTATTCAACAGTTAGGATCATGACGCGGTATTTGTGTGCAAATGAATGCTGGTGTGCGCGTTCAGCGTTGCGCGTAGCGCGTATTGTTTCCACGAGCCGGCGCTACAGCGTTAGGTTCAAACATTTTTGTGATGGGGTGGTTTTGAAGAGAGAAATAGCTTTTCCTTCAGTTTTGTATTGAAAAAAGTGCAAATATATCAAATGACAAGGATCTATAGGTCAGTTATATAAAACAAATATTGAGTGGCTTTAAATTGTGAAATGGGAGGAATATTATCGCTCGGTAAAATCTGGACTTTTCCAGTTCACTCGGCTTCGCCTCGTGAAATGGAAAAGTCCAGATTTTACCTCGCGATAATATTCCTCCCATTCCACGCTGAGCCACTCAATATTTGTATACTGGCTAATGATCCAGGGGTCCCGAGTTCGATTCCCTGCTGTGCATTCTTCAGGTTTTGCTCTTCTTTTCACAAATTTCAAGTTTTATCTTAGAAACGTTATTTTTGTCAGTCGGATACTATTTGTATAGCAGCAATTTTCTTTTTCTTTTCTGATCCGAGGCTCTGGAGGATTTTTTTTAAAGGAAAATAAAGTCCGAAATCCGCACCAAGTTGAAAAATAGTAGCCTCCAAACAAGCCTGGTTATATAAACCATGCTCCATAGGAAAGTGCACAAAGTACCCCAGATAGTTGTGTAATAAAAAATCTCGCGGGCGGTCACAGCTGCCATACGGGGAATTCCATCCTGTTTTGTTCCCAAGCAGTTCACAGAATAATCCCGGAGAGTACGCCATTTTTGAATTTCTGCTTCCGGACTCCACCGCGACCTTTCTATGGGTATTTTACCCGGGTTGCACTTTCTCTTGCAATAATTTGTGACAGAAAGATTTCTGACCGTAATCACCCCGCCGAGAAACATTCATGTTTGGAATATTATTTTGGCATTCCATAAGAAAAAAATGGTGAGAAATCAGATGGAGATGGGTAAAAACAAATTTTGCTCACGACCTTTCACCTCCATATATTCGTACCTACAATCCCGGCCAAAATGGTTGGGACACTTGGAAATAACCTTAGCCTCCATTGCCCTCCAACGGTCACCAACTCCCCCGCTCCCCGGTCAATGTTGTTCTCTCCAGCGGATGGAGCACACACCGCGCAATGAGAGACAACATTGAGCGGGGACTGGGGGGGTTGAGGGCCCAGCGAGATTTGGCCAGGATTGTCTCATATTTCAAAATATGCATGACATGCCGTTTGGGGAGCTGTTTTCCTGAGTTTTGTTTCCAAAATATGAAATGGCGGCCGAAGGTTGAATGAAAGTACACATACTTAGGCCAGATAAAAATGATTGATAGTAATACAAAAATGGAAATTAAAAATTCAAATGTTCCAATTCTTTAAAATCACAACTTTATTGTTGCGCGTGCATCGTAACGGTTCGCCATGACGGTTCACCATGCCATTTTGGCCAACAACTGTACAAAATACAGTTTGTGTTTAACTTGAAAGGCTCATTATGATACACAAATAATATACAATCCTTGTCAATTTGTTTGTATTACTCATTCCGAAAAATCCATCGGTGATCCATCCAAACCAAAATATAAAGGAATTGCACCCTGTGACTCTGCTTATTATATAATTTACAGTGGTGAACTGTGGTTACACTATGGTTTGGATGGATTTTTCGTCCAAATGAGGGATTAAAAACAAATTGAAGAAGATGATACGTTGTTTTTGTATCCTAATACGGCTTTCACGTCGAACCCAATCTGTATTTTGTAAAATATCGGCCAAAATGACATGGTGCACCGTCATGGTGAATCGTGTGCATTGACCATGTTACCAGCGCGCGCGTGTGTGTATTATTATTTGAGCGGGTACTACGCGCAATATCCAAATCCAATATCAAGGCTATTGTACATTCAGACAATCCCGGCCAAAATGGTTGAGACACTTGGAACCTTAGCCTCCAACGGTCACCAACTCCCCCGCTCCCCTGGTCAATGTGGTTCTCTCCAGCGGATGGAGCACACACCGCGCAATGAGAGACAACATTGAGCGAGGGCTGGGGGGTTGGGGGCCCCGCGAGATTTGGCCAGGATTGTAGGTCTCCTTGTTCGATCACGTTTGTATTCACCTCGAGTGCTAGCATGAGATCGAAAATGGTAACGACGCGAATATTTACCTACCTAAATTCGATCCAAGTAGGGCTTGCGTGGCAGGGCCAAGTTTTAGTTTTAAATTTTCATAATTTTTAATGTTTAAACAAGGAGTTGTTCCTTTTAGAAAAAAAAATCATATTAGTTTTGGTTGAGATGCCCCTTCCCATTCTTGGTAGTGTGACCCCCTGTTTGTGTATTCAGCCCAAAGTCGATCCCCCTTTATCAGTTGGCACATGGTCAAGCCACACATTACTTTAGACAGCAGACCAGCAGAGACAAGTGTATAGTATTCAGGTGTGTGTTCCTCCTATTAACTGGAGTGGCGTGATCCTGCTTGAGTTCTGTTTGTTTTGGAGCCATTTGTGAGTTTTCTTTTGTCCACTTTTCATTTATCATGCATAATTGTCATTAGAAATTTATTTCAGTTTCTTTTTTGAAAGTTTGTTAGTTTCTGTAGTTTTGATAAAAGTTGAGTCGGGTCATTTTAATCTTTGAAGACCTCTCAGTTTGGAAATTTAGATTTGGTCCTGTTTACCTCATTTTTCTGAAGACATAAGTGTGTTACATGTCTTTATAATTATTGTTTTATCCAACTTTTAATAAGGACGTTTTCGCCTTTTTTGATTTTTGAGTTCTCTTGAGAAAGTTTTAAGTTGTTGTCCAGTTTAATTCAACATTGTATTACCAAAGGTCATACTTTGCTTTATTATATTCAGTAAGGTTGAAAGTTCATTTGAGATTCAGGTGCTTATTATATTTCTCCTTTTGAATATCAGCATTACATTGAAATTTCTTCGTTCACTCATGGTTCAATGGCAAGTGTAGCCTACAGAGTTTGTAGCCAGCAACCTCGTTTAATTGCGCGCTAATAGTGTCTTCCACTTCATTTGCATGAGAGATAACTTGTTAATTGTTTAATGAATATTAATCAGACCATGTTTCTTATATACCTTTTTGTTTTCCTGGGTTTTTCTTGTTTTACAGATTTTCAGTCTAAGTGTATTCTAAGGTCCATTGTTGGCGTGAGTCTTGAGTCGTAAGTTTCTGTTTTAATTTTTTTTAAAAATTAATTCTTGTTTTAAAGTTTTGGATCTGGTCTTTAGTATTTTTGTTCCGTTCCTTGGTCTTGGTTTTTCTTTTGCTTTAGTAACTTCACTTATTTTTTTTTAAGTTTTGACATTTTTGTAAATAAACATTTTTCAAATATTTTTGTTTCAATTTCCTCGAGACCGTTCACCTCAGAGATCCTGAGTGTTTCGTTACAAATCAAGCTCCGCCCCCAGATCGGCAACATTCAATGCGAGTCCATCTCTTCAAATGATTCTTAGCCCATTTCGGTTCTGCACGCCACATTTTATGTTTTAAGCACGATTTGGGAACAATATGGGCACAATAATGGGCCAAGCAGCTCCGCTATTATCTAGGCCTATAATATATACGTGTGCAGTATGAAGCATATATGAATATAATCTTTAAATAGTTATTAAGTAATTTTATCCGACTCTCTTTCATTCTTGGGGTCAACCTCAGTAATAATCCAAAACGGCACTTGTTCGCAACAAGTTAATTAAACATTTGACCAATCAAAGAAAACTACACCATTCTGTGAGAATCTGGGCACGGGCAGATCGCTATTTCTCCCAATGCACGAGAAATGAGCACATTGACCGGTTGGAAACACAGAATGTCGCCCTAATGTGCATCTCCATAACAAATAACTTGTCCATTGCAATAGCAATACGCGTTCGTCTTGTAAAGCGGGCTATAGACAACCACGTAAATGCGGGATTCTGTAGAGCGCGCTAGCGGCAGCCATATTTAAGGGACATTATTTTGTACACAACGTCCGCTGTGGAAAAAATGCGCAAAAAATGCTGTCGCTAGCGCGCGGCAAACGACACATTGTTTACTGACCATAACATTGAATGAAAGGGGACTTTATGTGTCTCCCAACACGCATTTATTGCATGATCAGAACCCTATAGTCGAGCACAACCAGTAGGCGTTTTCCATTGCCAGTCAACTAACCAGGAATGAAATCCGACGTAACCCACCCCACTGCGTAATTCCAATGAAATGTCTCCCAACTGTTAATACCGACCAAGCACACATTTATTCCAATTCACAAATACTCTCCCCCCCCCCCCCCCCCCACTTTCACTCGGGAGGTAAAACACTGAGTATACAGTGTTT